TGAGTGGGATACCAGAGGGAAGCTATTTCTGCCCAGTGTGGTCGCTCTCACAAGCAACTTGTGTTCTGGGCTCCCCATCAGCCTGACAGGTGTTACTCAGGACTTCTCTAGTCTGAACTTCTTCCTCCCCAATCCTCCTGTTTTCCATTCACTAGTGTCAGACCAATGCTGCAGTCAAAAGGTTCTTCCTGCCTGCTCAAACTTTCTCCACCTTTATCTTTCTTGTGTGTCTTCTCTCAAAAATTTCTTTCACTTCTAACTCTGTCATAAGTCTTGCTTTCCAGGGGACTGAACTGATACAGCCACCCAATAATTATTGACAATCTTGGTACAATCATAGTCCAAAGAAGGATAGTTCTGATTAATCCACATCTAGATGTTAAATTAGTTAAGTTCTTGGCCCTCTAAGTGGGTAACTTTTAATAATACCTAATTCTACCTGGCCTCGAAAAACACTGTGGACAGTGACTGCAGCCATGAAATTAAAAGATGCTTGCTCTTGGGAAAGAAAACTATGACAAATCTAGACAGCATATTAAAAAGTAGAGACATGATTTTGCAGACAAAGGTCCATAGAGTCAAAGGTATGGTTTTTCCAGTAATCAGGTACAGACATAAGAGTTGGACCATAAAGAAAGCCTGAGTGTCGACGAATTGATACTTTCAAATTGTGGTGCTGAAAAAGACTCTTGAGAGTCCCTTGGACTGCAAGGAGATCAAACCAGTCAAACCTAAAGGACATCAACCCTGAATATTCATTGGAAGGACTGATGCTGAAGCTGAAGCTCCAATACTTTGGCCACCTGATGCACAAAACTGGCTGGAAAAGACCCTGATTTGGGAAAGATTGAAGACAAAAGAAGTGGGTGCCAGAGGATGAGATGGTTAGATAGCATCACCAACTCAATGGATATAGATTTGAGAAAACTCCAGAAGATAGTGGAGGACAGAGGAGCCAGGTGTGCTCCCATCCATGGGGTCGCAAAGAGTCAGATATGACTTAGCGACTGAACAACAACAATTCTACATTCCAAAGTTGATTCACATTTCTAGGTTTCTGTTTATTTTTCTTGGATGCAGTTTCTTAAGCAATAGCACAAGTATCAAACAGATACTCCAATGAATGGTTAGCATGTTACAACCCAACAGACAAATTTTCAGACTCCTTTAGTCTAATATCAACATGTAAAAGCTTTTAAAATTTTTTTCAATACAGTTTGCAACTTATTATTATACTGGCTTGTTGTCAAATATTTTTACTTGAAATTTATAAACACAGTTGAGCATGACAACTTTAAAACACAAAATAGTTTCACCTAATTCATAAATAGTACTACTATCACACACACACGTTTGATCACTCTGTACAATCATATCACATGTAAAAAAACTGAACAGCATTTTCTGGAATTTATTTTTGCATAGGGTGAGAGATAATGCTCCAACTTAATTTTCTTACAAATCATCAATTGTTTTAGTATCATTTATGGGAAAATTTATCTTTACTCCATTGATTTGAAATGTCATATTTATCAGGTAGTAATATCTTATGAATATTTTAATCTGTTTCTGAGCTATCTGTTTTAATTACCAACTTAATTATCTATCATCCAGGTTAGAAAAAATACACTGTACTTACAAAAAGATTCAACATTCCAATAAAAGGTTCCTATTTTAATGAATCAAGGCTACAAACAGTCAGTGACTCGGAGAAAAGGAATTCTGGCCTTACAGAACGTTTTCAGTCCACCTCTGCTACCAGCTTTGCCACACTCTCTTGGACAGCACTTGGCACATAACAGGACACTAAGTTGTCCTTTGTTGAATGAGTTAATGCTTAATTATGGCTTCAGTTTACTCAGAGGAAAGTACCTAATTTCAAAGTCATCATATGATCAGTGTCAACTTTCACCTTATTAGCAATACATTTCAGAAAGGGGAAGTGATAGTTTGCATTATTTAGGAATACAACAGCTTCACTATAGCTACTAAAATAGTACAGCTCCCCCAAAATAATGTTGCAATCCATCTATGGGCCCCTCAGGCTGTTGGCCACTCCCTTCTCCTATGCTGTGAGATACTGTACTATCTCCTCAAATTTCCAAAGCCCCTCCCCATCAGAAGAAAATTTTCGCATCTTTCCACCACAGTGCCACAGACTCTACCTTCCCTTCTATTAGAATAAATGCTCCTGGTTAGGATAAACCTTCCTAGATTACTTGCTCAAGGATTTCCTATCATCACTCTTTCCTGTACCATTTGTCTCTTCTGGATCCTTCTCATCAGCAACTAACAATGGTAAATAGCTGCATCTTTTCAAAAAACAAAACAAACAAAAAACACCTTGTCATTAACCCATATCCCTCTCCAGCTACCACTACATTTCCCTTTTCCCTCTACAGCAAAATTCCTTGAAAAAGTGCCTGGACTAGCCATACTTTTTCCCATTTCTTGAACCTCCTCCACTCAAGTTTTACTCTGCACCATTCCTCTGAATTTGTTATTAACGTCCCTGGTAGCTCAGCTGGTAACCACTATCTTCAAAGTTATCAAAAACAATAGTCAGGTCATGGTGCTCATGTTATAACTCTCATCAGCAACATCTAGCTCAGTTGATCACTCCATCCCTAAAGTGATTAGCTGATGTCAAGGTAACTCAGTCCTCATGATTTTTGAGACTTTACTGACTGCTCCTTCTCAGTCCCCTTAGATTAACCCCTTTACCCCATTTCTCTGATTTCTATACATAGAAGTGGTCCTAGGATCAACCCTAAAAACTCTCTTCTTTTCTAATCACACTTACGCTTGAGGTAATCTCATCTAGTCCCAAGGCTTAAATATCTTCAGTTCACTTCAGTTCAGTTGCTCAGTCATGTCTGACTCTTTGTGACCCCATGGACTGAAGCATGCCAGGCTTCCCTGTCCATCACCAACTCCCGGAGCTTACTCAAGTTCATGTCCATTGAGTCAGTGATGCCATCCAACCATCTCATCCTCTGTCATCCCCTTCTCCTCCCGCCTTCAATCTTTCCCAGCATCAGGGTCTTTTCCAATGAGTCAGTTCTTTGCATCAGGTGGCCAAAGTACTGGAGTTGCAGCTTCAGCATCAGTCCTTCCAGTGAATATTCAGGACTGATTTCCTTTAGGATGGACTGGTTGGATCTCCTTGCTGTCCAAGGGACTCTCAAGAGTCTTCTCCAACACCAAAGTTCAAAACCATCAATTCTTCAGCACTCAACTTTCTTTTTAGTCCAACTCTCTCATCCATACATGATTATTGGAAAAACCATAGCTTCGATTACATGGACCTTTGTTGGCAAAGTAATGTCTCTGCTTTTTAATATGCTGTCTAGGTTGGTCACAGCTTTTCTTCTAAGGAGCAAGCATCTTTTAATTTCATGGCTGCAGTCACCATCTGCAGTGATTTTGGAGCCCTCTGAAATAAAGTCTGTCACTGTTTCCATTGTTTCCCCATCTATTTGTCATGAAGTGATGGGATCAGATGCCATGATCTTTGTTTTCTGAATGCTGAGTTTTAAGCCAACTTTTTCTCTCTCTTCTTTCACTTTCATCAAGAGGCCCTTCAGTTCTTCTTCACTTTCTGCCATAAGGGTGGTGTCATCTGCATATCTGAGGTTATTGATATTTCTCCCAGAAATCTTGATTCCAGCTTGTGCTTCATCTAGCCCGGCATTTTGCATGATGTACTCTGCATATCAGTTAACTAAGCATGGTGACAATATAGAGCCTTGAGTTACTCTTTTCTCAATTTGGAAACAGTCTGTTGTTCCATGTCCAGTTCTAACTGTTGCTTCTTGACCTGCATACAGATTTCTCAGGAGGCAGGTCAGGTAGTCTGGTATTCCCATCTCTTGAAGAATTTTCCACAGTTTGTTGAGATCCACACAGTCAAACGCTTTGGCATAGTCAATAAAGCAGAATTAGATGTTTTTCCGAACCCTCTTGTTTTTTTGATAATCCAATGGATATTGGCAATTTGACCTCTGGTTCCTCTGCCTTTTCTAATAGTGACTCTTAAGTTTTGTATCTCCATACACAGCCTTAGCTCTGAACTCATATATAGAATGACACACGCAACATCTGCATTAGATGTTTAATCAATGTATCAACTTTAGTATGTTCAAAACAAAAGTAAAACAAAACAACGGGGAAAATGAAACCCTGTTCTTTCTCCAGCATACACTCAATCAGTTATCAACCTAGCTAAGCCACCATTAGTTCTCAGCTCAGTTACCCTAAAAACCATAGAGTACCTGGTCTCTACCTCTGTTCTGCCGTTTTCCATTTACCCTAGTTCTGTTCTTCACAAGTAGCTCTCATGATCCGTCTAAATTAGAAACCATACTATGTAACTCTTCTGCTCAAAAATTTCTAGTGGTGTTCCATCACTTGGAATAAAACCCGAAGTATTTCCACAACCTGTAAAGCTGTGATCTGATCCCTGCTTATCTATTCAACTTCAACTGTCACCAACACATCACTCACTCTTGACCAGCACAAACCAACTATTCTGTCAATCAGGAAGTAAATGATGTCCCCTACGTCTCATGGACAGACCAGGCTACTTATACCCTAGGCCTCTGTATCTGCTCTTCCCTCTGTCTGATGCAATGTAGCTATAGATGTCTGCATAGTATTTTTCTCATTTCATTTAGGTCAACTTCTCTCAATTTTTAATCCTGATTTATTTTTCTTCACAGTTCTTAATACCACCATACATTCTACTATATATTGATTTATTATCAAACACCTTAACTAGAATACAAGCTCCATGAGACCATAGGATTTTTTTTGATCCACTTGTTTATCCTCAGAACCTAAAACAGCACCTGAAACATAGTAGATAACAAATGTTTGTAAAGGAAACTAGTAAACAAATGAGTATGTGTATAGTTTTGATTATGAATGTGGTTTAATGGTCCTAGTTTAATGCATAATCCAAAAGAGCAAAAACCTATTTTGGGGTATCCATTACTCACTTTTCGTTGTTTTACAGAGTCCAATTTTATGAGCCAATATGAAGCCACTTTTGTTTTATGATACTTCCAGTTATCAATGATCTGTTTGAGGGAAGAAATATTAAGAAATTTAATGTAATTAATTTGTGAAATGAAAACACTATTATACTATTTGAAATAAAAGATGCCTACTTTCATTAAAAAAAAGAGTGCAAAGATTTTTTTAACATAAGGTAAAAAAGCCATCTGAATTTAAAGTTTTTCTCTTCTTGCTGTAAAAAGCAAAAATCTTTAGTGAATGAAACTCAAACGTCTTCAGGACTATAAGGACTGGGAAGAAGCCAAAAATATAGATTTTTCATTTTAATTCCAAGAACTATATTTACAACATCATTCATAATAACAAAATATTGAATAGCACATTAGAAAATAGCCTATATATAATTAGGATTCTATTATCCCCTTTTATTTTTTGGTGCAAATATGCAAAATTTCTGAATATATATTAGTTATATACACTATAACAAACAGATTAAATTAGTTGCTGCATAAGTAAACATGTTGTAACTAATCTAATGTCTAATATATCAATTATATAAGCCTAAACACATGTTCTTTACAGAACAATCACAGTTACCCACAAAATTAGTTTTACCCTCAGATTATCTAATTTTTCATCTCCCTGACTGAAAAATGTAGTATACAACTTACATCTTAAGAAATATAAATAAAATGTCTGGTGCGAAAACACAGGCTCTACTCTATTGAATAAGATAACAGTGGCAATAGAAATATATCTGGCATAATGTTTTATAACTAATATTCATTTTTCTTCCTTCTCCCTTGATGTAACAAGTAGTGTCTCATTTGTAAACGAGATACCATTTTCACTTTTTAAAATGTATATATAACAAACACAAAGCATAATATTTGGGGGTTTTGGTTATAACTATGTTATGATTACAAAATACAAATAACTACAAAAGTCTTTTTTATTATTGTTTTTGGTTTGTTTTCTTTCTAGAGAGTGCTTTAGATAGGTCTAACTGCTAAGTCGCTTCAGTCGTGTCTGACTCTGTGTGACCCCACAGACGGCAGCCCACCAGGTTCCCCTGGCCCTGGGATTCTCCAGGCAAGAACACTGGAGTGGGTTGCCATTTCCTCCTCCATTCAGTTCAGTTTTCTAAAGTACTGCTGCTGCTGCTATAAAAAGTGAAAAAAAGCCAACTGCACGGCTGTGGTTTCTATCCTACAACTGGCCACTAGATGGTGCTTTCTCCGGGTGAAAAACAACAACCAAAAAAACCAGAAACCAGAAAACATTCTATTACTGAGAAGTTAGATATCTAAGAATAACAATTTGAAAGGATGTTTCAATGAAGAAATATCAATTGAGTGAAGAAATGCTATTTCACTCGAATATTTTAATACCTTGGACCTTCTTTCTAAATCAGGAGTAAGTTACAAACTTTAATGTGAATTTTAGGACTCTGACATTTTAGAACGTTCCACTGGGTGGCGCAAAGGCACATGTAACAAGAAAACACAACATAACATTTCAAAATTCGACTAATACCATTCAAGGTATCATATTCAAATATTTACTTCATGCCCATGGCCCACTCTTTTCCTTATTATCTCATTCCATATTCAATCTTTCAAAATCTTTATAGAAGCAAGCTTAACTTAATGTGTCTTTAATCATTAAGAACAAATAACTATTTAACACTAATTATTTTCAACTTGATGAAGCATCATTAAAATAGGACTATACACTAAAAGATATTTTGCATTGCTGATTATAAACGTGATCTAATTGCTCATGAATCATAATAATTCAAATAACCCCTGTATCTTCTTCTAAAGCTTGTGGAGGTCATTCAAGTTTACTATGTCATTGAAGATAATGACATCAGGAAATAAATTTTAATATTTTAAGGAGAAGAATAAAAAGGTATGAGCTCCTTGGAATTTTATATACGTCAAATACTCACATCTTCTATCAGAATTAATGATTCTGCATCTGATTTTCCTGGAAACCGGATCTTCATATCCTTGAGAACAAATAAGGTCTGACTTGTTAGATCATCTTCTTGTTCTTTTGGTCTCAGTTTCCGCAAAGACTCACTCTTAAATTTGAAAGAATACAGATATTTGGAGGGGGTCTTATTTCACTGTGTCACCATAATCTAAAAGATAGTTCTAGGTAAAAATGATGTGCTTTTAATTGAAAATATAACAATGAAAAAGGAAAAAATAATGTTTTTGCATTTGTTCTTAGCATTAAAATCTTAGGATTAAATGGATATGATTTCCCAAGAGTGTCTTTCATGCTTCCACACAGTTGCATTTTATGTAGCTCTAAATACCAAAACAAAATGTGAGTGTTTAAAAAAGCTTCATTTTCTACGTATATCTCAGGCAATTCTTGATTAGTGAAAAAAAACAAACAGAAACTTGTTACCAAGTGAAATTCATTCACTTATACTTTTCAGACTCTTTCCTTTGGAAGCAACATCCACATTAAATAAACAAATTAAATTGGTCTATGTGAACGTACATGGAGGTATCTACTGAGTTGGCCAACAAGTTCATTTGGGTTTTAAACCTGATTGAACTTGTTGGTCAACCCAATATTTGAGCATTTACTAAAAAACTTGGTTGCAAAAAAATTCACTGACTTCCTCAATACTGAATCTCTAGAATTTATGCTAAAGGAAGAAATATTATATATATGTATATATATATAATACGGTATGCTAATTTAATATACAGAAAACATTACTAAAAATTCTGAAGAATGCTCTAAAGATAATTTACCAATAGCTAATTTTTTAACTTATTTATCAATAGTCCCATTAAGGAAAATTTTCCATGAAACAAAATTCCCTAAATTCAGACACACTGTACAATCAGTGCAAATTTACCCTACTCCATGAGCAAACAGAAAATAAATATATTCTCAGTGTTCATCCTTAAGTCTTGTGACAAAGTGAAGCTGGCCTTTTAAGAATCCATATTTGGTTATAGGTGAAGAAAGAGGAATAATCCAAATTCCAGGAGACATGAGTTGAACTAAAGAAAGGATTTGATGTTCAATCTATCCTCCTCCCCGCTAATCCCTCTGCCACCTAAATCCTGAGTACGGTGCTCATCTCAGGGGAGCAAACCAGCAGACTTACCGTTAGAGAGTCAGAGGAGCTGGCATCATTACTTTGAGGCAGGTGCCTCATGTAGGAGGAGGCACGGTTTAAAGAATGGGACCGAGACCCTGAAGTTGGCCGGGATGCTGATATCACTTGCTGAGCAGAAAAGGGGCGGATGTCTGCACAAGATGGTGACTGAGAAGAGATGGACCGAGGACAACTGACTGAACGCCTTATGGAGCCTATGGATGATGAAGAAAAGGGATCGCACGGTAGCAGAGTTAGTAGAAGTCCTCCACTGTATTGTATCTATACAAACTAATGATTAGCAGGGTGACTTCTTGTTTTAGTTGCTAAGTCATGTCTGACTCCTTGTGACCCTATGGACCATAGTACACCAACTCCTCTGTCCATGGGATTTTCCAGGCTATAACACTGGAGTGGGTTGCCATTTCCTTCTCCAGCAGATCTTTCCAACCCAGGGATCGAATCCACGTCTCTTGAATTGGCAGGCGGGTTCTTTACTGCTGAGCCACCAGAAAAGCCCTAGAAGGCTGGCGGGAAGTGTCAAAGCATCGGCATCATCATGAGAATATGCATTTAGAGTTATTTCTTCAATTTAAACAGTGAACATAGTGCGGAACTCCTGTCGTGTATAGAGAATGGCTCTTGTGAGAATAATACTTAAACAGTACTTTAGTGTTCTATTCTTGAAACTTGACAAAAGGACCAGAAGAACAGAAAGCTAACATGTATGGAACACATTCTACAAACCGGGCATCATGCTAGGTGTTACACTATTATCTTTGTTCTCACAGAAACCCTCTGAAGTATAAATCTCTATCATGTGGAGACTCAGAGAGAGAACTTGTCACATGACAAGAAGATTGCCAAGTTCAGTGCTAAATCCTGACTTAATGTCAGCATGCTCCATTTTTCTATAATATAGACTGGTCACTTATTAGAATCTGTGCAGATGTTAGAAACAGAATATTTTACAGCAGGATTCATAGGGGAAAATGAATAGGGGAGAATGGCCAGGATAAATTGATGTTATCAAATTTAGGGCCCATGAAAATAAAATAATAATAATGTGTGATTGTGTGCTCAATCATATCCGACTCCTTGCAACCCCATGGACTGTAACCTGCCAGGCTCCTCTGTCCATAGAATTTTTCTGGCAAGAATACTGGAGTGGGTTGCCATTTCCTACTCCAGAGAATCTTCCCAACCCAGGGATTAAACTCGCATCTCTTGCAGTTTCAACATTGGAGGGCGGGTTGATTATCACTGCGATCTAGGAAGAATGAAATTATTGCAATAATGATAATATAACAGAAAAAAAACAAAGATTATATAGCTGGTTATTATAAGAGTAGTGCTAGACAGACAAGTCCTTATTCACAGGACAGACAAATTTTAAAAATTATATTTAAATTACCATAGTAAAATATTTAAAACAAGAAAAAATGTCTGGATCAACGATTGTTATCAGAACAACTAGGAAAAATCAAAGAATATCTTCTATGCTTGTGCAAATTCAGAACATTTAAAGGGAGAACCAATTATTCCTGACAAATTTTAATGTCTGACACAAAGAAATAGAATGTTATTTGATACTATCAACATCTATAACTTTTCTAGCACATATGTTCTATATACCCTCTGTTGTATATTTTCTCTCTGCTTAGGAAATATATCACTCTTCATTAATTAAATAATTTCATAAAACTCACATGAAGGCAGGTTCAATACCCAAATATTTCTTTTCATTAGCTGTTGAAAAAATTGTAAACCTTTATAAAGGCAACGGACTTGAGCCTTATGTTTAGAGACATATTTCTAAAGGATATTTTGAATTGATGATAAGTCTAATCGTCCTATTTAGTTCTGCACAGTATAAAAAAGTACATTCATTCAAGCTATAAAAGATGTCAAACAAACAAACAAAAAAAGCTTCCATTTGTTCCAACTGTTAGTCTCCGTCTGAAAGTCACACTAGTTTTTGAAAGAATGGCACTTCTAAAAAGGGCTGTGTGGGAAACACCCCATTGGTCAATCTTCTTCTAGTAAATACTCATAAGTATGTACTAATACATACACCTTGGCCCTGCTTTCTTCAAGGGCTTATGATGATGGTTTGGATATGTACAATCTGATTATAGCTGCAGACGGAAAACAACTTTCTCTTGAATCACAAAAGATTTTCATTTTTCTTCTGCATACATTAGAATTCAGACAGAATAACAAAGTAGTCAGATACGTCAATAATATTTAGGTAGACTAACAAAAAATGGTTGAAACTTTCATGCATAAATTATCTGAGAAAAAATACTTCATACAGTTTTGCATAGGACTACCATATATCAAATAAAAATATATCCTCTGGTACTGTAACGAGTTTATATTTCCTATATTAACCCTCTACAATAGAAAGCGTTGTACATAAACTGAATTTTTATCCTCAGTTATCAACATCTCTTTGGAGAGAAAATTCAAGGAAGGCTTGTGGCTATAACATTCCTTAGTGTAAGATTAAAAAGAGAATATAAGAAATTGAAACCGTTGTTGCAATTCTTAATGGCTATGAAAAAATACAACTAATAAGGAGAAAGATATTAATTGAATTAGACAAGCTTTAAAATGTGAATTTATACTTAAAAACATTTTTAGTACACTCTTTGTCTAATCTCAATTTATTAAAACTACTGGTCTTAGAAGAAAAAAGAATCTGAGTACAAGAACCCTAGTAGTTTTTCTCATCCCTACTCCATCCTCTGTCAGTTCATGCTGTTAGGGATATACATATTAGCCAATAGGAAAGGGGCTCCAAAACAGATTAAATCTGGGCAGAACAATGTCAGCTTCCAAAAGAGAACCAGAGCCATACTTACACAGAGACATACTGAAAGTACTTAAGGAGTCTTTAAGATAAAGGAAATAATGGATAAAAGAGCTTACAAACTCTGAAACAGGTACTCAATAAACGTACATTAAGAGTGAATAAAAAATGAAATATAATATGCTATTTCCCCTCAAAACATATAAGCTCTCAAAGACAGGAAGTATTTTTATGGAATAATTTGAAAGTAAAGAAAGATCATTAAAAATCTTCATATATTAATTCTGCATTGCTTATGCATTTTTCCTGTAAGTACGGAAGGCCGAGTTTATCAGGAAACTACCATATTAAACCATTGCTGGAGACAGAGCAACAGAGGCTCAGAAATGTGTTGATGGAGTGATTGGACTTTGTGGAGCTCTGGGACAGTGGAGGACTAGGCAGTCAGAGAGATGAGTGCCAGAGGTTAAGAAAAGTCCTGCACTGGAGACAACACCAGGAAGGGGTATCCGACTGAGCCTGGGCAACGCCAATACCACGCTGGACATCTGGGGATGAAAGAAGAATCACAGACACAACACTGGCCATTGGGATTGAAAAAGGAATGAAAGAGAGAGAAAATGGGGAGAGAAATAAAGGAAGAAAGCAGAAAAAGGCAGCAGGAAAGCAGGAAACAGAGAAGCTAGTTGGTTCTTCTCCTGAATACTTCCCATACACCAAAGTCCTGACTGAAGTGCTTACCCATGATGAAAATGGGAGGGAACAAAACTTCAACTATTTCACAATTGTGTGGCTCACAGATACATTCAAGTCAAATGCCTAGAGAGATACACACATTTTTTAAAATAGGGGAGAATATAAAACAAAATGAATGACAGAGTGAGGAACGGAATGAGAGAATATTGGGCCTTAAAAGAGAATGCCATCAGCAGATCAACCATGAGGCACAGTTTCAGACTCATGCAGAAACTTAGGACTTAACGAAGACTTTGAAATATGGAACAAAAGACTACAGAGATCCTTAAGTCAAACTCCTTTTGTTTTCCATTTGCAGACCCCGAAAGGGATTGTGGGATCCAGACCTAACTGAGGTCTGGTTGGGGAAGGAAGTGGGGTAGAATCTAGGTCTCCTCACACACAAGGGTTCATTTGGCCCAAGGTCTTTTATTGAGTTGTTTCAGTTCCATACTTCTTCATATAACAACTAAGCTAGAAGAATTTAACTTACTAGATGGCTGGATTAACTTGTAGTGGTTGGACTGTTTAAGATTATACGTAACTTGCTTTTCTCTTTTCTTATCTTGGTACGCGTCTTTTTCATTTTCGTCAGATTCTGAAGAGCTGCTGCTACTGCCATAGCTGCTGTCACTGCTGCAGTACTTCTGTCTTCTCATTATCTCGGTACTCTCAGGCATGGAAGACAGAGGCTGAAATGGGAGGCAATGTTTCTTTTGTTAGAACTCAGAAAGTCTATGCACATGATTCGTTTAGTATTTCCAGTTTCCCACTTGGCAAATAGATGAGGGAAAAGTGGAAAAGGTGGCAGATTTTATTTTCATGGATTTCAAAATCATTGCAGATGGTGACTGCAGATGTGAAATTAAAAGACACTTGCTACTTGGAAGAAAAGCCATGATAAAGCTAGGCAGTGTATTAAAAAGCAGAGACATCACTTTGCTGACAAAGGTCCATATAGTCAAATCTATGGTTTTTCCAATAGTCATGTATGGATGTGAGAGTTGGACTATAAAGAAGGCTGAGTACTGAAGAATTGATGCTTCCGAACTGTGGTGTTGGAGAAGACTCGTGAGAGTCCCTTGAACTGGAAGGAGATCAAACCAGTCAACCCTAAAGGAAATCAACCCTAAATATACAATTGAAGGACTGATTCTGAAGCTGAAGCTCCAATACTTTGGCCACCTGATGTGAAGAGCTGACTCACTGGAAAAGACCTTGATGCTGGGAAAGATTGAGGGCAGGAAGAGAAGGGGGAAACAGAGGATGAGATGGTTGGATGGCATCACCAACTAAATGGACATGAGTTTGAGCAAACTGCGGGAGATAGTGAAGGACAGGGAAGCCTGGTGTGCTGCAGTCCACTGGGGTTGCAAAGAGTCAGACTCAACTTAGAGGCTGACCAACAAAATGTTCAAAGTCACTCAATAAATGTGTATATGTATATGTGTGCATGTGTGTTTGTGAGAGAGAAAGGAGGAGGAGAGAAGGAAGAAAAAGAGAAGCAAAAGAGGCAAAAAATAAAATAAGAAAGCAACAGTCCGATAAGCCATTATAAGTAAGATAATTCACTATAAACAAAACAGGCCACATCTTAAAACAGTCTATGAGCCTATCCACTTGAATAATGTGCAACAAGAAGCAAGATATTCCTCACATGTCTAACTGCATCATGGACACTTTAAGAAACAAAATTTTTAGTTAATTTTCCATGTTACAAATTGGCTCATGTCTTTTCTTGGAGGATTCCTACCTCTGACACATAGTGTCTGGTCATAATGGAACAACCTTGCTTTTCGTTGCCCACACTACATTTTAAAAGGAGATATAAAAATTTCAATATTACATAATTTTTTTAGAAATTAAATGCTATGTAGATTGGTAAGTTTGTAAAGATTCAAAATGCCATGATATCATGTTCCAGCCTCTCTATCAGAATCATTTGTCACTGAATCCCCCAGTCAATGTGTTTCCAATGATGACAGCTGAAAGAATAAAACATAAGGGAAGTGGGACATCTTCACTTCAGAAAGAACGTGCACAACCAAGTAGAGTTAGACAGTTTTGTAACTTAGTCATTTTAAGAGACAATTACACACTCTATATGCCTCTTATTCCTGCTAGGGAAGGTTCCTGCAGTTGTATACTAATTTCTCCTTCTCTGCTAAATCAAACAAAAATGTTTTGATGTTAGCATACACTGTAATGAAATCCTTGGTTACCCCAGGATTTCATGGAAATGAGGTATGTCCTCTCATGTAGCAGTGTAGGATGGAAAGATGAAGAAAGAAAAAGCATTTCACAAAGTGCCTAGAATACATAGTAAGCCAAAGCACAGTCTTAAAGTCACTGTCTCAGCAAAGGATGAGAAATAAACAAAGCAGGGAATTAATACACTAAAGTACCAACTTGTGTTTAAGATATGTTCTTCTTTTGATAGTCTAATATTTACTGAGAGCTAATAATGTTCAAAGAGATACACAGAAAAACATTTACCAGTAACACAATCATCAAACACTTTGATAGTCTTGGGGAATACGAATTCTAGAGAAAGGATGTTTCTTGAGAAGTCTAGCATACCCAGAAAAAACAATGGGACAATGAGGCTTGCTAGTAGTACCTTCCTTCAAGTAGGCAAAGAGCTTTAAAATTTCTTAAGGAACTTGCCTACATAATGAGTTATTTGAGTCTACAAAGAATCGCAAACAGAAATGGACAGCTAAATCTTTGTTTCACACATGCATTTGGGACTAGTTAAAAATACATTGTTCAAGCAGTAATGAATAAGAAGTCATAGAAAATAAACTCCAAAGAGTGCCTTAACTACAAAATGAAATCTGTAAACTGGTATTGAGTTCTAACACAAACCATACCATTCATTTTTACGTCCAACTGTATTATGAACTGAGTTGCATATTAAAAATATATAAATGGTATAAATAACAAAACAAATACCAAATACATTCTACCTGACTGAAGAACAATGATAATACTTTATGTGATATTATTTATGTATATACAACTGAGCGACTAAGCCCACATTTATGTATTTAATAGCTAATTAATTTAATTCAATATTTCTTATATTCTCAAATAACTGAAACTTTATTTCTCCTAGTACCAGTTTCATTTAACCTTGATTACCTTCAATTATTCTACCAGTGAATACATTGGAAATCAATATTTGGTGTGTGATAACATCCCTCTAAAAAGGAAAGGCCATTTTGAAATTTGGTATATTCCAGACCCTTGGTGTACAGAATGTTAGAAATTTTAAAAGTACTTTTATTTCAGATTGATTATGCAACTTCCAGTACTTTGAAATATTTCTAGTGTTAATAACTACAGGAATTAATCAATTTGTTTCATTTCAAGAAATACATTACTGTGCTGCACTATGTGCCAAGTCGCTTTAGTCGTGTCTGACTCTTTGCAACCCGGTGGACTGTAGCCTGTCAGGCCCCTCTGTGCATGGGATTCCCCAGGCAAGAATGCTGGAGTGGGTTGCCATTCCCTTTTCCAGGGCATCTTCCCAACCCAGAGATTGAACGTGTGTCTCGTATGTCTCCTTCATTGGCAGGTGGGTTTTTTACCAATAGTGCCACTATTGTTAGCCCCTACTATTTACCTGGAATAAGAGGGGCTGAGAAATACACAGTGTGAATTCTGTCCTCTTGGAGGTAATATTTTTATTTGGATGATAAGCCTTTTTTATGAAGCTAAACAAAATTATGAGACAGTAGAAGGGTGACTTAGAGCCTTTGCATTTGCAAATCTTCCACAAATATTGTGCACCCAGGTTGCCTCACATCTGGTTTGCCAAACTGCTAAATAATTAATATACAAAGTTTAGAAACTTCCCTATATTTTCCAAAATGAAGCAATAACATGAAGGTATTCACTTTTACTCATACTCTAAAAATATATTTGTTCCAAAGGAATTACCAACAACATCTTCTACAGTTCTTTAATATAGAACACATAATTCAAAAGAACAATGCCTGACATCCATGTTTCTGGTCTTCAGCAGATACGTATCTTTCACCAGATTTGTCTTGTACCCATTTACTCTCTAAGACTCTCTCACTTGAGTCATACCAAATTCCTTGTCGTTTTTCCAATACTGTATGCAGTGTTATACCTCCGTGTCTTTGCCTTTAATGTTCGCTCGACCCTAAATATCCTTCTACCCTTCTTGAATGTTTAGGGAACTACTCAAGACACAGTTCAAATGGTGCTTCCTTTATGAAGCCATCCATAGTCCACCAATCCCTTTCTTCTCTATGTTGCTGTAGCACTTTTCACTCTCTTAATTGCAGTACTTGCCACAATATACCATGGTTTTTGGTTCACCTATCTGCCCTTCCACTAGTCAACAAGGTCCCTGTGGACACATTCAACAAATTTAACTAATGGTTTTGAGAACCTACTAAGGGCCAGATGCTATGTTCCGTGCTAGAGGTGTAAAGATGAAATACACCTTCTACCTTCACGGGACTCACAAGCTCATAGGAAGGCAAATATACATACAATCTTTCATCATAACTGTTTTACAAAAGTGTCATTTGTGGTACAGCAATAGAAGGAGAGGACAGAAGATCCAGGTCTAATAAGAGGCATGGGAGATTTCACAGCAGCAACTAGATGAGGAGAGGGTCTCTAATCAATCAAGCAGTGAATCAATTATTTTTTTTAGTAAGCAGGCATGTAAGAAAAATCATGAACGCATGACAGAGCAGGATATCTGTCAGGATGAAGTGATAGTTTTAGTACTGCTGAAATGTAAAGTGAAAAAAAGCAGAATGAAAAATCTTTCCAAGATGTTAGGAATTCAAATTTCGCACTTGACTTGCAAAGCCTTTGACATGAAAAGAACACATGAATGAAGCACAGAGCAGATGAAGGTAAAGCAAACACGCCAATTTTTGCCAGCATGATCACTTTCTATGTATTCTTAGAAACTTTAACTGTTTTACCTTACACAAACTTAATATAGGAGGGCTAGGAAAAGATGGGGCTCCTCATTAGTATCTCTAGAGTCATGATGTGTCTTATCTAAAATGCTACACATCTCTGAAGATTATACGTCTGGAGATATATGGAAAACTTAATACTGAGTATATAATGATGGTACCAGTTCTAGGTCTCATTTGACCCTGACTCATAGGGCTTTCACTCAATTCAGGAATCAGAAAATGAGATAAACTAACAAAATGAAGCTTCTCCTAAATACAAGACAATGTCATCTAATTCTATCTTTGCTGGAAACATAGTCCACGAAGTTTCTTGAAAGTGGAATCAGTCATTTGTAGAGTCAGAAAAGTGAAAAGAAAATCAACTGTCCATAGAAGAGTCTACTTTGATAGGAAGTAAGGGAGAAGGTACCTTTGGTCCTCGAGACTTGGTAGTTTTGCCCATTAGCTTTTCATCATCAATTTCACATTGTTCCAGAAGATCCAAAATGTCTTCCTCCTTAAAAAAAAAAAAATTAATTAAAATCATGATCACTAATGGACTCCAGAGTTTTTCCAAGTTCATTAGTCTTTGTGTATTGTAAAGATTCCAAAAACTATTTAACAAAGATTGTTCAGATCAAATGAGAAATAAAGGATCATGGCAAACTCTTGAAAAAACTTTCACTAAAATATGGTAATAAAAATAGTACTAAGCTGAAAGTATTATGTAGTGATAATCATAAACAAATATATCCTTATGTTTTCATAAATTATTAATATCTTAGAATACAATACTTAAATAAATTAGCCTGTTGGATACTTTAAAACATCTCTAAAGGTTCACTCTGATTTCTCTAGACCACAATTTCATCAATCATTTCCATATCGATTAGTGTAAAATAAAATTACAACTTCAGACAGAACACTGACGACTGGCCTAATAGGTTCGTTTACAACAATCCAATGTTAGTATTTAGGTAATGGACACAATTTAATGAAACTCAAATTTTTAACTATTGAACAAGGATATCTTTAGAACTTTATGAAAGTTTTTCATTCTATAGGCCTAATATCCTCTTACACTCTTCAAAAGTCACTTCGAAGTCAAAGGGTAACATTATGAAAACTCAGGAGCAACAGGAGTACAATAGCTTTACTAAAAGTGGTACAGTCAACTGCTTTCATTATTTATTCAACATATAAAATATCATATCTTCAGTTATATATTTATGACTTATATTTGTATTTCTTTTTTTAAAGGGGGGTTACTAGAAACTAGAAATCTCACTGTGCAATGGAAATCCATAAAAAAGGTCACTCTTCATCCCAACCTAAGATTTAGTTATTAAAATACCAAAAGATTCTTGTTATAAAGCTTTGATTAAACAACAATCCTACAATGAATTCCAAAGATAGCAGCACACAATAGTTAAAAAGTAAGGAGTTCCACTTTTGTTCGGAGAAAGAAGGTCATATAGACAATATTTTCATCATAAAAGCTAAAAAAAGATGATAAACTAAATAATCATACTTTTTAAGACATCAGAAAGCTATGGATAAAAGTAATGTAAAAGGAATTATACCAGAGAGGGAAAAGTGCTCCTAAGTGAGCAGAGATAAGTGGCCACCTTCCACGTTGGGGTCATTTGTCAAGCCTAGAAACAGCTGAGTAGAGAGGTCTATAATAAGCACAGAGATTCTGCAAGAATTCAGTGGAGTTTTCTAATGTCATGTGGGCTAGTAAGACGCCTAGAAGAGCCCCACAAACCTGGTTCTCTTCACCTTCTGCCTCTCCAACAGCAATTTTAGTTGAGTATGTAGTGGAATAGGAGGACAGAGCCATGGATAAAAAACCAGAAACACTTCTCTGTAGTCATGAAATTACTAGATACCAGTAGAGAATGAGGCCTGTAATAGACTGAAGAGATACCACTCACAAGGTGTTTGAAACCAGAGGTAAACTAAAGCAAACCCTCTGCAACGCAGCCTGAGCCTCAGTTCAACTTTTTTCTTTTACTTCATTTTTAGTTGAAATATATTTGACATATAACATTGTGTAAATTTAAGGGAGACAAAATGTTGACTTGATACCTTTATGCATTTAACATGATTGCCGTTTTAGGAATAGTTAGCTCCTTTATCATATCACATAATCATCCATTTCTTGAGACTGAGATAATTAAGTAATGTTTGATAATTACAATATGATATTGTTGTCTATATTCACTATACTGAGCATTAGATCTCTAGGGCTTATTTACTTCTAGTTACAATACTGTACCCTTAAACAGTATTTCTCCTACTCCACCACACCCCAGCCCTAGTAACCACTGTTTTAATCTTTGTGTTATGCATCTGTCTTTTTTGGATTCCACATCCAAGTGATATCATACAGAATTTGTCTTTCTCTGTCTGACTTATCTCACTTATGTCCTCAAGTTCCATCCACATTGTCACAAATAGCAGGACCTCCTTCTTTCTCGTGGCTAATATTCCATTTATATATATACCACATCATCTTTACCTGCTCATCCACTGATGGGCACTTAGGTTGCTTCCATAACTTGGCTAGTGAGAATTATGCTGCAATAAACATGGAAGTGCATTTATCTCTGATATCCTGTTTTCATTTCCTTTGGGTAAATACTCAGAAATGGAATTGCTGGATCATATAGTAGATCTATTTTTAATTTTTTGAGGAACCTCTGTATTGTTTTCTTTAGTGAAAACAAATTTAGTGGGAGCAAATTTATATTCCTACCAATGGATTATAAGAGTTCCCATTTCTCTCCATCCTATCCAACACTTTTTATCTCTTATCTTCTTGATAATAGCCATTCTAACAAGTGTGAGGTGATATCTCATTGTGGTCTTGATTTGAATTTCCCTGATGATTAGGGATGCTGAACATCTTTCTATGTACCTGTTGGCCACTGGAATATCTTCTTTGGAAAACTGTCTACTTAGTCCCTCTGTTCATTTTTAATCAAGTTGTTTATTTGTATGTGTGTTATGGAGTTGTATGAGTTCTTTACAAATTTTAGATATTAACCCTTTCTCTTATACATGGTTTGCAAAAATTTTCTCTCATTCTGTAGGTGACCTTTTCATTTTGTTGATTGTTTCTTTTGGTGTGCAGAAACATTTAAGTTTGATACAGTTCCCATTGTTGAGTTTCTGCTTTTGCTCAACTTTTCTTTGCCTCAAAGATTAGCCTCTTGACCTAGCACCCTGAAATAAGAAACAAACGCCTTCTTTTGAACAAAACAGTATCAGTTCAATTTTGATGATTTTTAACAATGTCTGTAGAATAAATGAAAATTATAGGACATTCAAACTAACAGAAAAATGTGATCCACAATTAAAAGGGAAAATCGTCAATAAAAGCAAGTCCATAAATGATCCAGATGTTAAAATTAACAGACAAGGATTTAAAAATAACATATGCATATTAGATAAAATTGATAAAAACATAATGAATAAAAGATGCAAACTTTTAATAGAGAAACAGAATTCAAAAAGCCAAATGGACATTCTTGAGTTGAAAAATATAAGAAGTGATTGGATAGCCTTACAGGCACACTGAATTCAGCAAAGATACAAAAACAGAAATCATCCAAACTGAAGGAGAGAGAGAGAGAGAGAGAGAGAAGGAAAGTAGAACATGATATCAAAGACACAGTTTGTCCCTTAGTAGCCATGGGGGTTGGTTCCAGAACCTCCTGCAGATATCAAAATCTGTAGATGCTCAAGTTCCTCATACAACATGGTGCAATATTTGCATATGACCTACACAAATCCTCCTATATATTTTAAATCAGCTTTAGATTACTTATAATACATAATACAAAGTAAATGCCATATAAATAGTTACAAATATAATGCTACGAAAGTAGTTGCTGGAGCATGCCAAATTCAAGCTTTGCTTTCTGGAACTTCCTGAATTTTTTCCCAAAAATTTTAACCTACAGTTGGTTGAATTCACAGATGCAGAACCAGTGAATACTGAAGGCCAACTGTATGTGAGATGCTGTCCAATGACCTAATATGTGTAATGAGAGTCCCATAAAGAGACAATATACAAAATAACACAGCAAAAAGATCTGAAGGAAAAGCAAAGGACAGGTTTCCAAAACCAATGAGAGAGATGAATCCACAGCTTCAAGAGATCAAGAAAATTATGAGCAGGGTGAATATTAAAAAAAAACAAAAAACCACAGACACATCAAGGTCAAAATTCTGAAAATAAAGAAAAAGGCTGCCAGGAGAAAAAAAAAGTCATATTACATTCAGATGTGCTGGTATTTAAAAAAAAGAAGTGCCAACATAGAATTCTACAGTCAGTTAAACTACAATTTTAAGTAAAGGCATAAATAAAAGACAATTGCAGACAAAAACCAAAACCAAGAAAAACAAACAAACAACAACAACAAAAAACAAGCAAGAGACTCATCACCACTACACTCATGCTACAAGGAACATGAAATAATAGACTTCTTCAAACTGAAGGAAGACAAACCTTGTCAAAAGAATGAATACGCACAACAGAATGAAGGACACAAAAGGTAAGTAAACATGTAAGTATGCATGAGAAGTTACATAGGAAACAATTTAAAATCATTGAATGCTTAGATAATAGTAACAATAATACATTTTGAGGTTTGCAACTTATGTAAGAGTAAAGTATATGATAACAGCACAAACTATGGAAGGAGACATTAAATGAAACTAAACTGATATGGTCCTTACATAGTCCATGAAGTGGTAAAATATCCATTTGGGGTAGATTATTATGATTAAAGGATGCATACTGCAATTTCTTTTGAGAAAAAAATCATATTATGATACCTATGGCTGATTCATGTTGAGGTTTGACAGAAAACAGCAAAATTCTGTAAAGCAATTATCCTTCAATAAAAACTAAATTAATTTTAAAAAATATTATGCTACAAATATAAATAGAACAAAAGATAAAATAGTATAATAAAAATAATTGATAGAAAAAGATAAAAGATAAAATAGTATAATAAAAGATTTAAAAAGTATGAAAATAAATGGATGGAAAAGATATGTAATTGAAATAGTAATCATAAGAAATAAACTAGTATGACTCCATTAATCACACAAAGTAAATCTTAAGACAAGAAGTAATACCCAAGAGATTTACATTTCATAATGGTAAAATAGAGTATATGAATTCATTAAAAAGACACCTTTGTAACTTCAAAGGATATGAAATCAAAACTGACAGAACTAAATCCACAATCACAGTTGGAATGTTTAACAAATCTCTCAGTAATTGCTAGAACAAGCAGGACAAAATAATAAGAAAGGTTATAGAATATTTGAACAACAGTAATAGCCAAATTTACTTAAAAGACATATATAAAACTCTATAACCATCACCTGTAGCATACATGTTATTCTCAAGTAAATTTGGAAATTTATTAAAATAGTTACCATATTAAGTTAAAGCAAGTCTCAATTTATTTTACAAGACTAAAATCAGAATATGTTTTCTAACATCAATGAACTAAACAAGAAATTCTTACCACAAATAAAACTAGAAATTTTTAAACATATGGAAATTAAGCAACAAACTTCTAAGTAATGAAAATAAAAGTCAGAATATAATTTAAATGCAGTTAGTAAAAATACAATACATAAAAATGCTAGATATAAAAGGCAAAATACAAAAATAACCAGAAGTTTACAACCTGGCAACAAATCAAAAACAAAAAAAGTTTACAAACAATATTATCAGCAACAATAGCAAAAAATTAAGAATTAAATACTTACGAATAAATTTAATGAACTATGCACAAGAAATATAAACGGAAAACTATCGACATAGAGAAAGATCCAATTAAAGATCCAAGTAGATGGAGAGATATGCCATATTAATGGACCATAAGACTCAGTATTGTTAATCCCCTAGAAATTGTTTTATAAATTCCTCAATCCCAATTAAAATACCAGCAGCGTTTTTTGTAATTAAAAAATTAATCAAGATTTAGAATAAAACTGATTCTAAAATTTATGAAAGAATAAAAGGACTAGAAAAGCTAAGAGTTTAAAAGAAAGGAAGAAATTTGAGGACTCACTCTCCCTAGTTTTGACACTATAAACAACAGTAATGAAAATTGTGGGAAGATTGAAGATTGTATAAGAATCGGCTCACAGACCGATGGAATGGGGTAGGCAAAGTGTTGACATTTAAACTAAATTTCGAAATGTATTCATTGGAAGGACTGATGCTGAAGCTGAAACTCCAATACTTTGGCCACCTGATGAGAAGAACTGACTCATCGGAAAAGACCCTGATTCTGGGAAAGATTGAAGGCATGAGAAGAAGGGGACGACAAAGGATAAGATGGTTGGATGACATCACTAACTCAACGGACATGAGTTTGAGCAAGCTCCGGGAGTTGGTGATGGACAGGGAAGCCTGGCATGCTGCAGTCCATGGGGTCGCAAAGAGTCAGACATGACTGAGCGATTGAACTGAACTGAACTGAAAGTACTTTAAACAAACTATTTTACTTAACCTCAATTTTATTTTCACAACCTGTCAAATATACTTTTAATATTACTATTTTATTAGTGATCCAATCAAACAAATAATTTAGTCTAAGTTTACAAAATTGAAACATAGGGGAGCTGGAAATTGAACATAGGTCTGTCTGGGTCCAAAATGCTTAGTATTTCTTAGTACAGAGTGATGGGAAGATGGAACAAAGACTGTATTCACAGGAGACAGAAATAACATTACAGAACAGGTGAAGGAAAATTAACAAGGGTCTCTCACTATCTGGGTCAGGAAAAACAAAAAAACTACAGAACATAATTCTAACAGTGGAAATAACTGCATATGTCAAAAGAGGGAAATTGGAAGGAAAAGAGCATTACAGTATACAATATCCCTTCTGCTTCTGTCCCTTTGGCCTATTCCACTTGAAAATGGCTTTATGACCTTCTACTGCAGAATTTGAGTGCAAAGACTATAGAAAAATCTATTTATAATAAACTTTACCACGATTTTTAAAATCAGTATAACAGGGTAGCCAAGATATGGAGGTATCACACTAGGGAGATTTCCAGCAATATAAAATATAAACAACTATAATAGGTCTGCATGCTGGAATTGAGAACACAAGAAAATGTAAGTATGATATAAATATGAATACTTAAAAAACTATTAAAGACCACTGACTCTTTAGACAATAAAAAAAAAAAATCTTATTTGTCCAGTGGGACTTTAGTAAGCATGACGCTAGCAGGGGCTTGATTAGCCTCTGCGTGCTGGGCTTGTCCTCTTGAAATGCTCCTTTTTGTAAATTTCAGCTCCTATTGAGTTCTGATTACCCTCCTTACAAGCTCATGTAAAGAGAAAGAGACACCCAGCCTGCTCTCCAGATGTTCCATCTCTCTCAACTGAGGCACCAGACATATGAGTGTAGCCACCTTGGATTTCCATCCCCAGATGAGCTTTCCAATAAATGCAAATATATGATTCACTCCAAGCTAGCTCAGCAGAAGAATAACTCAACTGAGCCCAGACAAGATTGCAGAATAATGAGCAAATAAATGAAATGGCTTATTGTATTGCAATAGATAACTAATAGACCTTTTAATAAGGCATACAGGTTATTCTGCATGTGTATGTGTGTGTTTCAATTATTTCTCATATGCCATGTCTATGCAGCATCAGGAAAAAATATTGTATAGTACTAGTTATAATCCAAATAATGAGAACATCACAAACCACTAGGTTATTTCAATCTATTTTTTATTCAGTTATGTATACACAACTCTATAATAAAACATTTATTCCAACAGATTACAAAATAACATCAACATTCTCTACCTCGTAATTTGTCCTGTTAGACAACTTATTTATGAAATCATTTGCCTGGTTATGAAACATGACCAACTGTTAAAATGGAAGAAAAGTGCATCTTAAAAGTGAAATGGTTTTACATGTGGAACTAAGATGGGTTGTTTTTAAAGACAAATTGTTTGGCTTCATTCTTTTTTTTTTCTTTATAAACATTCATTCTTTTACCTTCATCCTTTTCAAAGGATTATTCAGCTCTCGCTGGAATGAAGCTGCTCTTCCTGAAAGGAAGGTCTGAAAGGCAACAGCCAACAAATTTTCATACTTTTCAAGTAGTGTTTTATCTTCAGGAGGATAAATTCGCCTACAATAAAATCAGATAAACCAGCTTTTTAAAAAAAGCTATTATAGTGCAAGATGTAAGGTAAACAACAAAGATAATCCATGACTCTGTATCAGTCACTTTCCCAGGTGCTAGAAATAAAGATGAATACAGTACAAGAAATCCATAAATTTTTATGTTACCCATACAAACTGAAGTTTATCTAGAGAATAATCATTAAGTGATGAGTTCCAGAAAGCATAGTATAAAGATCTGGTTGAGGGGAGGTGGTTTAAGAAGAATTGCAATGGGACATATTAGAGAAATACTGGAGAGCTTTGTCAGAGATAGTTTAAGTGATGAGATTTGGAAAGTTTTAGACTTAGTGTGATTATTGATGTATACAAGAATGTAGGGATTAAGCCTAATGATTTTTTGAGGGGTGGCAGAATTTTTCTCTCTGCTGGAGAAAATTAGGTAGACAATTAGGTTGAGAGGAATGTGTTTTCATCACTACTGCTGATGGTATTAAGGCTGGAAAGAACACCTTACCGGGAGGGCAGGAAGTTCAATGATGTCAAATTCTCCTAATTCTGCTGAGTCATTATCAAATCTTGGGAAGAGGGGCAGTCTTTCCAGGAACACAAAGAGCTTAGAGCGGCCCCCGTCTTCTCCTGTCAAATGTGACACTGTGGAGGGGGTCCAGTTCCACACAGTCCACGTCCCTTTCCACTGTCTCATACTGGCTTCTCCAGACAGTTTCACTATTTGCCTCCTTCCTGATACATTTGAATTTACAGCAAAGTATAAAAACAACTTTGAACTGATAGAAAGAATACTAAGAGACCTGACTTTCTCAAAATATTATATGATAATAAAATAATATAACAGGATAACATCAGGCTTAAAAGACTTTACACAACCACCCTTGAGGACGGCAAGCAGGAGCTCTCACCAAGTCTGAACCATCTACTTGCTGACTATCTTTCCTTGCTGGAAGTAAATTAAACAAAAAGTACTTTCTCAGCATGAAATAAACACGGCTTAAAATAAGCCTAAAAAGTTAAAAAATATAGACACTGCTGTTTTGACACTTCACTTTTTCAATCTATAAAAAAACAAAAGCACGTTTACCTGTAATTCCCCATGTGTCGATTTTCGTGTTCTTCTTTCGAGATCTGCTTCCGTACCTGAGCGAGTCTCTCCTTCTAGAAATGAAGACATTTTACAAATAAAACCTGACAAGTGAATTATGTAATTCAAACCGTAGGTACATTGTTAAAATTTTCATACCAGCTCTTCTTTCCGCTTCTCCAACTGATGTCTTTGTTGTTCCCAATCTGAGGAACCTGGTAAGGGTCTTTTTATTGAATTCTGACCATAAAGCCTCCTTTGAGCTTCAGCTTTTTGTTTAGCCAAGTTTTTCCTTTTATCACTGGTCCTAAAATATAGAACATAAGACCACATTCCAGAATTCAAATAAGCTCTGATCTTATCCCTGTAAGGAGAATTAGCAGAAGAGGAGATACAGTGGGAATAGGAATCAATGTTTATTACATTTATATATTCACACATGTATTTATCTACTCATTTATCAAATATGGATTTCCATCCAACAAACAGAAGTTTTGAAGGAATGAGAGAAAATGGTGATAGTATAGCAACTGAGTAGCTATAAAATCTTAGGTCAATTAATTGCTGGGTCTGTTTTTCCATCTATCAAATGTTAACAATAGCACTTCTCTTCTAAAGTTCTTATAAAGATTAACTTGGAATGACACTGCAAGCATGATCATCTGCTCAGTTGTGTCAGACTCTGTGACACCATGAACCGCAGCACACCGGGCTTCCCTGTCCTTCTCTATCTCCCACAGTTTGCTCAACTAATGTTCATTCAGTTGGTGATGCCATCCAACTACCTCATCCTCTGTCTCCCCTTCTCCTCCTGCCCTCAATCCTTCCTGGCATCAGGGTCTTTTCCACTGTCACCTCTTCACATCAGGTGGCCAAAATATTGGGGCTTCAGCTTCAACATTAGCCCTTCCAATGAATATTCAGGGTTGATTTCCTTTAGGATTGACTGCTTTCATCATTTTGTTGTCCAAGAGACTCAAGAGTTCTCCAGCACCACAATTCAAAAGCATCAATTATTCAGCACTCAGCCATTTTTCTGGTCCAACTCTCACATCCATACATGATTAATGGAAAAATCATAACTTTGACATTTGTCAAAGGCCTTATACAGACCTTTGTCAGCAAAGTAATATCTCTGCTTTTTAATATGCTGTCTAGGACTGCCATAGCTTTTCTTCCAAGGAGCAAGCATCTTTTAATTTTGTGGCTGTAGTCACCATCCATAATTATTTTAGAGTCCAAGAAAATAAAATCTGTCACTGTTTCCACTTTTACCCCATGTATTTGCCAAGAAGTGATGGGGCAAGATACCAAGATCTTAGTTTTTCTGAATGTTGAGTTTTATTTTTTATTTTTTTTTTCCATTTATTTTTATTAGTTGGAAGCTAATTACTTTACATCATTGCAGTGGTTTTTGTCAGAATGTTGAGTTTTAAACCAGCTTTTTCCCTCTCCTCTTTCACCTTCATCAAAAGGCTCTTTAGTTCCTCTTCTCTTTCTGCCATTTGAGTGGTATCATCTGCATATACGAGGTTGCTGGTATTTCTCCCAGTAATCTTGATCCCAGCTTGTGCTTCATCCAGCCCAGCATTTTCCATAATGTACTCTGCATAGACATTAAATACAGGGTGACAATGCACAGCCTGGACGCACTCCTTTCCCAGTTTGGAACCGGTCTGGTTTTCCATGTTCGGTTCTAACTGCTGCTTCTTGACCTGCATATACATTTCTCAGGAAACAGGTCAGATGGTCTGGTATCCCCATATCTTTAAGAATTTTCCACAATTTGTTGTGATCCATACAATCAAGCCTTTATAGTATAGTCAATGTAGCTGAAGTAGATTTTTTCTGGAATTTTCTTGCTTTTTCTATGATCCAACTAAGATCATGGCATCCGGCCCAATCACTTCATGGCAAATAGATGGGGAAACAGTGGACACAGTAGCTGACTTAATTTTTTGGGGCTCCAAAATCACTGCAGATGGTGACTGCAGCCATGAAATTAAAAGACACTCCTTGGAAGGAAAATTATGACCAACCTAGACAGCATATTAAAAAGCAGAGACATTATTTTGTCAACAAAGGTCCATCTAGTCAAGGCTATGGTTTCTCCAGTGGTCATGTATGGATGTGAGAGTTGGACTATAAAGAAAGCTGAGCACAAAAGAATTGATGCTTTTGAACTGTGGTGTTGGAGAAGACTCTTGAGAGTCCCTTGAACTGCAAGGAGATCCAACCAGTCCATCCTAAAGGAGATCAGTCCTGGGTGTTCATTGGAAGGACTGATGTTGAAGCTGAAACTCCAATACTTTGGCTACTTGATGGGAAGAGCTGACTCATTTGAGAAGACCCTGATGCTGGGAAAGATTAAGGGCAGGAGGAGAAGGGGATGACAGAGGATGAGATGGTTGGATGGCATCACCGATTCAATGGACATGGGTTTAGGTGAACTCTGGGAGTTGGTAATGGACAGGGAGGTCTGGCGTGCTGAGGTTCATAGGGTCGCATAGAGTCGGACACGACTGAGCGACTGAACTCAACAGAACAGATGATGGCAATTTGATCTCTGGTTCCTTTGACTTTTCTAAATCCAGCTTGTATATTTTTGGTTCACATACTGTTGAAGCCCAGCTTGAATGATTTTGAGCATTACCTTGCTAGCATGTGAAATGAGCACATTTGTACAGCAGTTTGAATATTCTTTGCCTTTCTTTGCCTGGAATTGGGATGAAAACTGACCTTTTCTCCTCCTGTGGCCCCAAATGAATTTTCCAAATTTGCTTTGGTGATTCATCACTATTATTAATTAAATGTGAGAAATAACAACAAAAAGGGTTGAACTTGAGATGGCAACAAGGTTTCTAATTTTAATAACTGGACGGTTAAGAATATAATTTTTCCAGTGATAAATACGGAATTTGGCTGAATTTCCTTTTTTTAGGGAAACGGAAAACGTGATTTAGGTAGCTCTTAACTTTTATTTTATTCTATTTTACCTAGGACAAATCATTTCTACATGCCATACAATTTAAAGGAAAGACAGGAGAGAAAGGGGGAATAGAAATAAAATGAAGAGGAAAGAACACTAAACAATTGGAAAGGAAAAAAGGTAAGAGAAAGAAAAAATGAAATGACAGAATAGAGGGAGGGAGAACAAAAAAAGGCTGAGAATACCATGAAGAGAATGCTGCGGAAGAAATGAAGGCAGAGATATATGCACCTTTACATAGCAAACACTTCACTCACAGACAAGGACACTAACACACACACAGCTCAAGAAGATACAGGTAAAGAGCTATGTTTGCATTCCTATAAAAACCGGTATAAATAAGCACTAATGACTCTCAGTCCAGAACAAAATTTAACCAGAGACCAAAGGATCTCCATTCGCTCAGCATTTTAATCAGTGTTTTTCCACTCAGCTATATCCATACACTGACCTAAGGAGTTTTGTTTGCACTTTCTTGAGTTCTTTCCACTACTTATTATCCTGTGATTCCATCCAAGGGTTCTCTCTTTCTAATCAGCTGGCCTCACACATACAAGCTCTTGTAATATGAAAACTCTGGAAGTTCTATGAACATGCTGTGCTTGCCTCACTTCCTAATCTTACTACAAGGAGTCACCTTTGAATGAAATGTCCTTCCCCACCCTTGTCATCATTTTATTTCGTTCTCACCATACACTAGTTCTAGATACGGCCTTGGAAATACAAAGATGAATAGAGACATCGCCCTCGAGCTGCAATGGTCTAAAGGGGGAGAGGGGAACACCACGTGAATAAATACGCAGGTTACAGTGGATGCTGCTTAAAAAGTGACAGTAGTAGGGGTGATGGCAAAAGCGAGGAAGTAAACCACTTTGCTACAGCAAAGGCTTCAAACAGAAGGTCAGGGTTGTGCTAGGTATTCAAAAATGAGTTAACCAAAATGTGGCATATACATGCAATGGGCCTTAACAGGGAAGGAAATTCTGACCACATGCTACAATATGGATGAGTCTTGAATACATTGTGCTTTCCCTGGTGGTTCTAATGGTAAAAAGTCGGTCTGCAGTGCAGGAGGTCAGGAAGATCCCCTGGAGAAGTAAATGGCAACCCATTCCAGTATTCCTGACTGGAAAATTCCATGGACAGAGGAGCCTGGCGAGCTACAGTCCACGGGGTTGCAAAGAGTCGGACATGACTGAGAGACTAACACTTGAATACATCATGCTAACATAAACAAGGCAGATACAAAACAGCAAATATTGTATGATTCTACTTATATGAAGTACCTAATCAAACTCATAGAGACAGAAAGCAGAACAGGTGTTGACCAGGGGCTGGTGGGAGGGAAAAACATGAGTTGTCTAATAGGTACAGAATTTTAGTTTCATGCAATGAAAAAGTTCTGGAGAAGGATGGAGGTAATTATTGTATCATAATGTGAATGCACTTGTTGCCACTGAACTGCACACTTAAAAACTGGTTACAGTAGTAAGTTTCAAGTATATTTTACCACAGTTTTTTAAAAATGAGTCAACATTAACCACAGGGACAAAACTAAAGAAAATTTAAATGAGAATGCATACAAAACTATGGACATGCGAAACAGCATCATATGAGTTCTTTAAAAAAATTAATTCCAAGGCAGGGAAAAGAGAACAAAAGGTGATCAGGTTGGAAAGAGATGCAAGGGCTAGATTATAAAGAGTCTATGTCTAAAGATCAAAAATGACTTGTAGGCAATGTTTAAACTTTCTGATAACGTGGAAACAATCTGAGCAGGACGGTAGCATTTACATGTATCTCTTTAAATGTTGGCATCCCTCAGGCTCTGCCCTTGCCCCTCTCTACTTCTCAATATATACATTCTATGTTCTCATCCACTGGATTCAACGGCAATCCATACATGTATGTCAGTCATATGGAAGTCTCTTATCTCCTGGGACCTTGTATATCAAATCTCCCACTTGACAATTCCGCCTGAGTGTCTCAAAGCACTTCAAAATCAGCATGTTTAAAACTGAATTATCTCTTAATTTCTACTTCCCCCATTGCCTAAAACCCTTATCTAAATAAAAGACATACTGTCAAACAACTCATCCAAGCCAGAAACCTAGGAGTCATGGCAGACTGTGAACCCCCAGCACCTACTCCTATAGCAGTAGGCACTCAATAAACACTTGTTAAATGACTTGGAGAGCAACAGAGCAGAAACCACAAGATGGTGTGAAAGTCAGTGCTGAAGGAAGGGAATCAATAAAACAGACCAGGAGAGAAATAAGAAGTCCTTAAACTTGAAGAGGAGACTAAGAAATTAAGTCGTACATTTGACAGGACTACTTAAACAATAAGTATGCCAAAAAATGTATAGGCATATTGCTTAAATAATCTAAAATACCTGATACACTTGTATAAGTGAAATAAAAATTTCCCATTCTATGTCTCTTTCCTTCCTATTCATTTCCTTTAGAATAACTGAAATATTAGTAGAATTTAGGCAAATCATTCTCTGATCACAAAAAGAAGGGGTCATATGAAAATTTCTGAATGAGTTATATCTCAATCTCTTTTTAATAATGCCTTCCATATAAATCTACTTCTCAATCAGGCATTTACTAAATGTTTGAAAATATTTCAAGTAAATAAATTGCTTGGAGGCATCCCACAGCTCTTACAGAGTTCTTGAAATAACAATTAGAATCAATAGAGATCACAAAATTCCTGAGTTTAAGTGACCTAAAAGATGTCCTAGAAGTTATTTGAACACTTATACTAGCAGACAGCTCGCTATTTCATTAAACAATTCAGTTAAACTTCTAACAAGTTTCTCTCATAATAAGCTAACAGCTTCCCACATAGTAACATTTCAAATATTTGATATTCATGATCATGTGAATGGCAGTCAGTCTAATAATATTCCATTGATCCAGCAATCCCAATTTTGGGTATATATCCAAAGAAGTTTAAATCAGGATTTAGAGTGATACTCACACTCCCATGTTCATTGCAGCATTATTCACAATAGCCAAGAAAAGGAAGCAACCTATGTTCATCAACAGATGCATGGATAAAAAAATGTGGTATGATGGAATATTATTCAGCCTTTAAAAAGAAGGAAATCTTGTCTATTCTTTTCAATGGGAAAAGTTAAGCTCACTTAACTGCTTCTCTTTTCTGTTTACCCTGGCAGCCTGAAATACTGGGAAGACCTCTGGATAGAAAGGTAGGAAATGCATTTTTAGTTTTCTTTAATTTCTGAGTGACCTTTATGCTTTAGTTTCTTCTTGTGATGTAAGGAACAATCTAGAAGGTTTCCTAAGGTATGCTCCAATTCCACCTCATACTCTGTATTAAATAATTATACCAATAATGAAATTTAAGCATATTTATTATAGGTTCAAATCACACAGGGGGAAGGGGAAACTGAGTTCAGGAAGAGAGGAAAAGATATTTAAAAAGAAGGAAATTAAATGGGTTTAAAGAACAGAATCAAGAAACTCAAAATATAAAATACTAAAATTATAAGCCAATTCTATTTACAAATGACTGTTCTACACCAAACATGGTGAAAAAATTCCAAAAGACAAAGGAAACAATTTACCTAATATTTAGAAGCTTCAGTGCATTTAGCAGCACTCCCTTTTTCACATCATAGTCTATTTTCTGATCAGTGCCAAAGCTCGGAGCTCGATTGATCTGAAATTAACAAAGAAAACAATGAGTAACCAAATGTTGGCAGATCAATCTATATTCAGTAAAAATGTTTTAACCTAATGTGGGATCCCCAACCAGTAGAAGGACTCTACAATAAATCTCAAAGCTCTACATAGTAGATGGTCCAGTCACCACTGCCACACCTCCATTCCCCATCACCTTAATTTAAGTCAAGGACTTGCAAGGAATTGACTGTCATCACTGCTCCTTCCCCCTGCTGCCTTAGCCCAGGATTTTTCAGTCAGCATTATCTGCTCTCTCTCCAGTCCACTCTCACCAAATTATCACCCCATGCATTCCAGGTATTAAATTTAGAAACGTAAAATGATTCATCCTGACAAAAAGTCTGGATGACCAGTAATAAGAATAATTACACAGAACAAAAAATAACATGCATGTTACCAATATAGTAATAATTATATTCACATATGTATTTTGCATGTTAAAATTATCAGTGCCCTCTTTTCACTGCTTTCAGATCTTCTGGATGGATCATCCACTGCTACCTAAAAAATAAACTTTCTCTCTTTCTACCTGGATCAGACAATAATTCATCAGTTTTCATTTTACTTCATTTCACTGAAATTACTTGGAGGATACTGTTAAAGGTATCTGAAGACTAACCTGTATAAGCTTTTCTAACTGTTTAAGGATTCATGGGAATAAATGAGTCATTTGTGGCTGTTCTACTTTACTCCATAATTTCCAAAGTTTCATTAAGAGGAAAAATAACAAGCAATTATATATATATACACACACACACACACACACACCCAGAAATGTAGTTTATAATATGCTACAACTTCAAGAGCTAGAGTTTTTATTTTTTCTTTGCTGTTGTTGGGTTTTGTTGTTATTGTTGTTGATGTTATGAAAATGTAATTGGGATAGCAGATATTTAGGGAAATTACTTATTCTATTAACTCAATTGATGAGAAAACTATTGAGTTCAAATCTACAGCTTAGCTTCTTGACCACCAACTAATTCCACAGGCCATCTCAAAAAACATGAATACTCATAGAAGAGGGTCATCTTATACAAATCCATCACCACAAGAGACAAGGTAACTGATAGCATGCATTTTACAACTGGCAGCTTAAGGAGATACCACATTATAGTTAAATCATCCAGGAATATAAATGCTTCTAATCAGAAATATGGCACAAGATCGCTGCAGAAAAATTAGAAACAAAAGTCCAACAGACAACAGAGAGATCACCTGCAATCCCAACACCTAGCGTTTTGTTAACCATTTGATAAATGGTGTTCCAGATATTTGCTACACATATTCATCATATTCACTTTACCTTCCAAATATATCTCTATACTGCATATTTTACTTTATAACCAAGGTTTTCTCTGAAGGTGTGTCGTATAAATCTTGTATGCCATCATTTTAATGGCTACATGGTATTCCTTGTGTAGAGATATGGCAAACTAATTTCTTCAACAGAGATATATGCCTTCCTGTATTATGTCCTTGCTGATTTCTGATTTAAAAGGCGATGAACCTATTTCTATCTTTGTGATGTGGAAGAGAATAACTTGGTAATTGCAAGAATATGAATTTATTCCAGGTGATTTTGAGAAAGGAAGTTTATTAGTCTACTACTTCAAAGTTCCAAGCATTTCCTCTTACAAGTGCAGAGAAAGGATACAGCAATATATTTTATATAAAAAAAGTTTCTGGCATTCCATCTCTAGAATTTATAAAACAGAGATAGTTCTGCTGCTAGATATAACAGGATTATTAAAGTAAAACAGACATTTAGGAATCGATGATTAAGTGGTTCACTGAAATGTTATCTATCTGTATAGAATATCTTAGTGTTTCATTTCAAAACTGCAGCCTGGAATTCTGCCAGACATATCCCACTACCAGGATGGTAGGGAGGTCTTGATACAATACAATCACAATCCTCTCTCTTATCTATTTCAGATTCTTCACTCTACTATCATTTGAAAGAAATTGGTCTGTGAAGAAATGTGCCTCCATGAAGAAATGTGCCTCCATACTAAATAAACTAATATATGGAAAGGTAAAATAACTTAACTCAATTAACATTTTGCATTTTAAGTTTTATGAGAAATTTAAAGGAAAAAAAATAAAAGAAAAACCACAAACGGCCGACAGAAGAAATGCCGAAAATTATGGCTCCATCCAGTCAAACTTCTATTATGTGATGACTTCTTTGCTCTCATTTCCTAACATGGTTGTAAAACAGACAAAGTTTACCAGTGTTAGGGTCTTAAAGTACAGCGGCTTGTAAATGCACACAAAAGGAAAATTAATAGAAAGCAAATTAAATTGATATCTTTATTAACTGTCCAAATCATAGTTTTATTATCAAGATAAGCACAATCATTTCATGCACAGATAAAGGTTTCCATAATAGTTTCTGGGCTCCTAAATTAGTGCTGTTCCCTCTGGCCTATAACTTATCCCAACCTCAGCCCCAACTCTCCCAACCCCTGGCCCCTCCCCACTTTCTACAGCCTTAAGTACTCTGACCAGGTGTTCACTCTTTTGCAAAGACTTTTTTGAACTCACAAATATACACATGTACACAGAGGGACGAATCATTGTTTGTGCTGCCTCCTGTTTCCTACTTATACTCGTAATTATTATTATAAAACACATAACTGAGTCTCCTACAAAAACAGGACAAGTATTCTCTTATTTTTCTTTTATCTCCACCATCTGGTGCTATGATTTGCAAATTAAGGATACTTAAAATATTAGAAGTATATTTATACTCCACTTAATTTCCATGTTTTTCCCTAAAAATGTTTTCTATGATTGAAAATCTCTGTAATTTGTCACTACGAATCATCGCCTGCAATTACTGAAGTTAACTAAAAGTTATCACATGTTCAGAGGCATCCTCTGCCTTATTCCACTTGATGGCGCCAAAAGGTTTTTAACAATGTATATTCACACTACTATGATCTCAGATTCTTTCAACTGTTTTGATATGTTCAAACATGTTCAGTACTCACAGCTGCCTATTATTGTGGTGTTTTTTAAAGGGCTATGATTGATTTGAAAATGATGAAACAATGAATATAAAATTAAAATAAGTTATTGTGGAGTGTTTTTTTTAAGTGGTTTATTGATCAGGAAGTTATGGAGAAAATAAAGTATGAAGAAATATGAATGCAAGCAATGGTATTTTTGAGCTTTTAAAAAATACATAATTCAACCATTCAGTCAATTCTGGTCTAACCAAGCAACAGTCAGCTTCAGTTAGGCAAATGCTTTTAAAATTAGGTGAATAAAATACCTATAAAATAATTATTTCTTATTATCCTTTCAGTTCTATTTCACACATGTGCCTTCACTTCTTTCCCACCCCATCAAAGCTAAAAGACAAGTATAGGGCAAAAAAAAAAATACAGGTAAGAACAGGAATTGATACTTTCAAATTGTAATGCTGGAGAAAATCTCGAGAGTTCCTTGGACTGCAAGGCGATCAAACCAGTCAATCCTAAAGGAAATCAACGCTGAATATTCATTGGAAGGGCTGATGTGGAAGTTGAAACTGCAATACTTTGGCCACCTGATACAAAGAGCTGACTCACTGGAAAAGACCCTGATGCTTGGAAGAAAGACTGAAGGCAAAAGGAGAAGCAGGTAGCAGAGGATGAGATGGTTAGACAGCATCACCAACTTAATGGACATGAATCTGAGCAAACTCCAAGAGGTGGTAAGGGACAGGGAAGCCTGCAGGGAAGCTGCAGTCCACGGGGTCACAAAGAGCTGGATACAACTCAGCAACTGAACAACAAAGAATAGGAAAGGAAAGTGAGATAAGAAAATGGTATAAATAAAGACGACGATGTCAGGACTACGTAAGACGAAGGGCCACTGTTCAGAATCAAGAGCTTTCACATTCAAGGAACGGAGGAAGTAAAAGGATACGTAAAGTTCTTCACATTTATCTGATTTCTAGGATCCAAGCCAGGAGTATAATTTGAATACCTGACAGAGTTGTGTTTGATTAGCAATATAATACACATTATTTGTTCACAGTAGATTCAACAAACACACATGAAAGCAGGAGCCTCAAACAGGAAGTGTTCTTTCCTAAAAATATATTTTGAAAGTCTTGATTTCACCTATCACTCATTCAATTTGCTTTCAGAAATCTTGGTATTACAGATGTAACTTCTGATTTCTAAATCATTAACCAAAAAAAAGGAGGTAATCAACTTAAAATTAAAGGTAGTTGATGATGAAATCTTCTATAATAATATATTGCTTAAAATGTAAGTGATCTAGTAAATACTAAGTGTTTAGATAGGTGCTATTTTCCTAAACACAGTATTTTGTGGCCATGCGATCAGTGACAATGGAGACTGATGATCAGAACCAGGTGTACTGGTTGGGGTGCTGTAGGACCACTTGACTTCTTGGGTTTCTTCTATATATAATAAAAACATAATAAAAAAAGAAAGGTAAAAAAACTTAAACAGAGATCATTTTTATTTTTCCTTTATATTACTCTGTATTTTCTAAATGTTAAGTGACCTTTTATAATGGAAGAAAAATAATGATGACTCTAACTACAGGGACTGGCAGAAAACCAACCCAAAGGCACAGCTGACAGGCTAGACATGAGGGGAGCCCTCGGCACATAATACGGTCTTGAAGAATTCATGTCACCCAGTGTGTTAGGGTTAACTAAGATTGACGAGCTAACCGGAGCCTCTCTTCTCTAGGAGAGTTTGAAGGGGAGGGCACGGAAGCCAGGGAGCTTCAGTCCAGCAGCCCAAGCACCCACAGAGAAGAAACACAACATCCTGAAGTCAGGAGGCGGTAGATCTGTGAGGCTGAGAAAACGCAGAGGAAGGAGACCTCAAGTCAGTAATAGCAGATCCAGGCATATGTGCACAATGTCTAGCCTAGAAATTCACCCAATGCTGATTTGGGAAAAATAAAATCAAACACATTGATCCACTCTAGCAAATGTTGTATTCCTTGAATTTTCATTTTCTTCCTCCAAGATACTCCACTCAGGACTCTTTATGCTCAATGAATGAAATAACTGTGCCAAGTACACATTTAGCAAGCAGTTATTTTAATAGACAAGAATAGTACTCACTTCTCTTTCTTCTTAAGGAAACACCTTACCTCCAGAAGCCATGGCTTTAGTTTTCTATCCAACAAAATATCAAATCCCAGAACTTCAAAGCAGACACTTTCACTTCCTGGAGGTTGACCAGGTCTGCACATTCGATATGCATGCAGGACGTGAGGTTCTGCTACAATCAGAGTCTTCACCACCAATTCCTATAAGGATTGTGATTCAAACAAAAGAATGAAAAGCTTTATTTCTTTGTATCTCATTTATATACATGGAAATAAGGCGTGGATTTATGAACTAGCATCCTGGCCAGGTTCACAAAACTCTACTGTATCTTATCCCTACTGTTGCTCAGACTGCATTTCACTCAACTCGCGCCCTGCCCACTGTGGTCCAGGCATGCTCACCTTCTCTAGGCTCCTTGCACTAGCTGATCCCTCTTCCTGGAACACTCTTCCCCCAATAATTCAATGTCTGGCTCCTTGATATTCAGAGAGTCCCTGACACCTGAGTCAAAAGTAGGCACCCAAACCTTATTCCTTACTGCGTCACTACACAGCATAGGCCCAGCTCATCTTTTTTCTTTTTGTTTTAGGGCAGAGTCTTTGTCTGTGTCATTTACAACCCCATTCCCAGTCCTTAACAATAGTACCTGGCATTTAGTAAATGCTGAAAATCATTTGTGAACAAATAAAATAAAAGTTTATGAATGTGGCTTGAATTTGTTAAATAGGTAAGCTAGGATCATAAGCGCCCCTTCTCAGAAACCATACAAAAGGGGAGGGGGTGGGAGGCAAAAAAAATTCCAAGGAGAATAACTATTTCACAAGCAACATTATAGAACCTCCATTTAGAGAAAGGCTGAAAGGCCAAGAAGACAAAATTTGGGAGAGTTGGGTTTCTCCATGCAGTGATGACTTCGTAGTTCAAAAGGTTTATCTGAGATCAGAGTAATGCCAATGAACGACCTATCAACATTTTCTCTGAGGACACATAATACAACTAGGGTGAGTTACTAATGCTAATAAAAGAAAAAGTTGATTTACTGAAGTCTAAGAACAAGCTATGGATTGCAGAAAAGCTGTACCCCTGGTTTTTGCTTAGAATATATTCTTTTTAAGCCCCTCTCTACAGGTAGACAGCATATTAAAAAGCAGAGACATTACTTTGCCAACAAAGGTCCATCTAGTCAAAGCTATGGTTTTTCTAGTAGTCATGTATGGATGTGAGAGTTGGACTATAAAGAAAGCTGAGTGCTGAAGAACTGATGCTTTTGAACTGTGGTGTTGGAGAAGACTTGAGAGTCCCGTGGACAGCAAGGAGATCCAACCAGTCCATCCTAAAGGAAATCAGTCCTGAATAGTCATCGTAAGGATTGATGCTGAAGCTGAAACTCCAATACTTTGGCCATCTGATGCAAAGAACTGACTCATTTGAAAAGACCCTGATGCTGGGAAAGACTGAAGGTGGGAGGAGAAGGGGACGACAGAGGATGAGATGGTTGGATGGCATCACCAACTCAATGGACATGAGCTTGAGTAAACTCCGGGAGTTGGTGATGGACAGGGAGGCCTGGTGTGCAGTCCATGGGGTCGCAGAGTCAGACATGACTGAGCGACTGAATTGAACTGAACTACAGGTACAGGCAATATTGTATGGCAATTAAGAATCTGGCTCCAAAGTCAGACTTTCTGAGTTATTCCAGGCTTTTCTACTGGCTGGATGTGCAACCCCAGTCATGTTGCTTAAACTTTATGAGTCTCATTTTTCCCAAATGCAAGCTGGCAATAATAATAATAATACCTGCTTTTAAAAGACTGATGGAAGGACAAAATGAGACTCCATGTGAAATGCTTAGCATAGTGCCTAGAACAGAGTAAACCTTCAAAAGGGGTAAGCAACTTAATTACTATTGCTCTGTTTATCCTTCATTCTTCTAGAACTCCACCTCATATGTCTGGTTAGCCACAAATATTCCATTGCCTGGGGAAGCAGCATTTATTATATGACAGAAAAAATGGAAGACAAAGTTAATTTCACTGTTACCCAGAATCCCAACACAGACTGTATTTGGGTCTATCAGAGATGCCTTGTAAGGCTGTTCTCAGAAATTTTATTCAAAATAACAAATTCATGGTATTAATAGCACCACAGATATGGAGATAAAAGAGCAAAGAATACTTCACATAAATCTTGAGATATTATTGAAACTACTTGACTAGGGAAAAAAGTTAAAACCTTTGCTAACAATTGTCTATGTGAAATAAGACATGCTGGGGGTGAGGAGGTGGGGGTGAATATTTAGACTCTGAATTGCAAATCTGTGTTTTTTTCTACATAAAAAACAACATATTTTCAAGAATGTAAAGACAAGATTGCATGTATATGTGAAGTCAGGAATGACATAATCAAACACAAATTCCACTAATGCTTCTAAGAATTTCCAGTATTGATGATTTTTAGATTTTTACCTACTAAAGTATATAGAAGACATTCAGCAAGGATGATTTTATGAATGGTTTTAGTCATTTTTAACCTTCATGGACTGATTTTCTCTTGATTTCTTATTCATTCTTGACCAGCACAAAAGCACACATAGAGAGTATTGATGAATGTTAGTTTTCATATACAGACAGCTACTTCTTAGATAAATTACCATCAATAAAGTGGTCATTGAAAAAAGTTCTAAGTTAGATTCATGAAATTTGTAAACTATTAAGATAAAAATTTACTACACAATTGCCCTCTCCACCTTTTCTTGTCATTCTCTTTTTTACATTATCCCATTGACTGATCTTAAGAAGATATCTGTAAGTATATGCAATTCTTAATAAAGAATGGAAATTTTAAAATAATTACATAAATACAGTCAGTTTGACAGGATAATTGTAGGAAAGCACTTGGAAGCTATCAGTCTATTATTTATTAATTGGTTATTTATAAGATAATTAATGTATAATTAATATAGGCAAAATTTATCCACTTATAGAAAAAAATCATGAAATGGGTAAGAGCACAATTACTATATTCAGGTCATATCTGAAAATTATATTCTAGGCTCTAACTGAAAACTTAATTTCCATAGTCATTAGTATTAGTTGTACCCCTAATTCAATTATGTGGGGAAAGTACCACTTAAAACCAATGTCTGTAAAGCTAATGGGACTCATTTTTCTCTCTAATTGACTCTCTATATATTCCTCACCAAGACAACCCAACAGGTTCCACCTTTTCACAAAGACTTCTCTGAAGAATCAAAGTGAAGAATTTAGTAAAGAAAAAAGAACACCAGAGGGCATCTAAAATTTGGTCTCACTGAGCTAGTCATCAAACAACCCATTCATTAAATAATCCAGGTATCACAAAGTAGGATCTACCATCAATGAGTTATTTTCCAAAATTGCAAATTTCAGCAGTTTGATGCCTCTGACCCACAGGATAGTAAGTTATCATTATGAGAATATTTTTGGAATTAAAAAAATAACTGGCCTATAAAATACACAGATAAACAAACAGCATTGTTGGAATCAAATTTCTTGTTTGGATGTATTTAGTCTCTCGGGAAGATATAATAAAAAGTTAACAAATTGGTAAGAATTTGACCAAATCCAAGTGACAAACTTCAAAATTTGAAGGAACTGCTAAACTTCTAAAAAATTTGACTCTGTTGCCAACGTTTATAAATCAGGAGACTTATGGTACCTATTGACAAATTAGGATAATGAGGCACACTGGGCCCAAAACGCCACAAGGCACCAATAAGCTGGTTCTGAGTAGTGTCTATCACCCTTAGACCTCGGATGCTCTTCAAATTACCACTGTTCTAAGCACGCCCTATTTTCTTCTAGCCAGACCTCTTCAATCCTTTTTACTTGTCTGATACCAAAGGACCTCTGGGTTTACATTCTGTGACACAGAAAAGAAGATTTAGAAAGAAACAACCAACAAAACATCTGGAAAAGGAAGAATTATAATGATGCTGATTTTTTTCTCTGATTTTCTCAAGAGAACAGAGTTCAACCAACAATGAATTTTCATGTCCATTTTCCATGATATCTTTATATAAATATATGTCATTTGTTCCAGAAGGAAAGCGACATCGAATTGTATAGCCCTCATCATGTTAAGTATTTTCAGTAGACATACTCCTCTAACTATAACTCTAACATTTCTGCTAAGATTAATAAAAGGGTCTGTTTCATCAAGGTTATCTTCTCATATGTGTTTCCTTTTCTCTCTTAACCATTACCATTTGGAATTGCATCCCCTGCCATGGCTTTAGTTATGAATTTCACCCCATACATATACTGTTAACTGCCTGCTTTTCTACCTGGGAGAGAATTTCAAGTTCAACATACCTAAAGTAAAATCCATCATAGCCTAGTGGACTTTTAAAAACTTGATTCAGGTGTCAATTCCTCCAGGAAGTCCTCTTCCTATTTCCATTTACACTATACTCCATCTATTCCCTCTACAATATAAAGGCTACTATATGTGATCTTAATCTACATTCCCACAAATCCAATGTATGTCTATATTTTTGTACTTGATACACTGCATTTTATTAACAATTTATGTGCAGGTTTTTCCTACCAAACTCTTGAGACTCTTGGAGTTGTATCTTACCTATCTTCAAATTAACAGCCAGAGACAAGCTTATAGTACAGCTTCAACAAATGTTTACTGAATAAATGAATGAATTAACAAATCAACATATAGAACTCTTGTCTCTCATCTGCAAAACTAAGCTCTACATCCTCTTCTCAAAATAAATTTCTTTCTATTCTATTTTAAATAACACCACACCTACCATTCACCTCATAATTATTCCTTAGAACTACAGAGGAATCTCTGAATACTTCTTTCCCACCTCCCCATTCTGAACACTCAGTTCATCTCTAAGGTCCACCTCATTGTCACCTCTTTCAATTCATACCATCCTTTTCACTTAAGCTACTCTCAAGCACTCTCCTCTATCTACTCTTGGTTTTTACTCTAACCCATCTAGCACTCATTCTCAGATTTATCTTTTAAATTCATGGCCTTTGGCATTATTACTTCCCTTAAAAACTGAATGAATCCATACTGTCTACCAAGTTAAGCCTTGCTTTTCAGGCCTAAAAGTTAGTCTTCACGTATGTATCACATATATATCATAAGTCTTCACATATATATCTTCACAAATATATCTTCATATATATATCACATATATGTGATATATATATATCATATATATATATATATGTACCTCCATGCCTTGACTTATGCTTTGAAAGCGAAAGTGAAAATTGCTCAGTCGTGTCCAACTCTTTGGGACCCCATGGACTGTGGGTTGCCAGGCTCCTCTGTCCATGGAATTCTCCAGGCCAGAATACTGGAGTGGGTAGCCATTCCCTTCTCCAGGACATCATCCCAACCCAGGGATCGAACCCAGGTCTTCTTCATTGCAGGCCAATTCTTTATCATCTGAGCCACGAGGGAAGACCAAGAATACTGAAGCAGGTAGCCTATCTCTTCTCCAGCAGATCTTCCCAACCCAGGAATAGAGCCAGGGTCTCCTGCATTGCAGGCAGACTCCTTACCAGCTGAGCTACCAGGAAAGCCTGACTTATGCTTTGGCCTCCATTTAAAATTCCCTTTCCAATCATGGGCAGTAAAAGTACTACTTATCTGTTAGTACTACTTATCTACTTATTACAAACCACTTTCTTCATTAAAATACACTATATCTGCTCAATCTAATGTAACGGGTTCTTTATTTTAAATGGTTGATGATCCTTTCAATTAATATGAGGAAAGACAATTAAAATTATGAAATGGTACAATCTTACTGAAATATCACTCCAAAACTTAGCAACATCATGCTGATTTGCTTGTAGGAATTCTGTAAACCATTTGATGGAACGTTTGCTGCCTTTGTTTTCAGTTTCATCTCTTTCAAAACGTTCATTATGCTTGTTCACAGAGTAGTTTGTCAGATGCATGTACAACTGGGTCTGTAACAAGTAAGAACCAAAGTTGTTATCACCTATGAAACTCTAGAACCACAAGGTTTCACAGAAAAGAAAGTATCCAAAAATAAAAGACAATTTTAAAGTTTAAAATATGCAGGTTGATAATTTCCTGATTATATAATTTTCAAATAAAATGCAATGGCATGTTTTTCTGAAAAGGATTGTGAATATAGTCATCTACAAAGTTACTCTGTATGTTACTGAAAATATATCTACCATAGAAGTATGAAAATAATAATGATATGTAGGGTAATTAAATGAAAATACAAAACTATATATTGCTAAGCAAGAAAAGTGCTCTAACTCTGAAGTTTGCTTTTCTTAGTTGGTTTGTTTTCATGTTTTTCTAAAACTTTCATCCTAATTTGTTTTGGGAAAAGAATTTTCTGAGACAGCATTCTGGGTCTTTTCCAACAAAAATTTTAAAGTGAAAGTTCAAGTAAGTAGCAGAAACAGAAGCAGTATACCAGCCACAACCTCTGCTCTGCCACCCTGACTGGGAGATCACTGTGACTTGTTAACACGACACATGGCCCTCAGGGTCAGCAGACAGAAACACCACACAATGCTTCGCACGTGTCTAAATGACTAACCATAAATTTACAGTGCTCCATATTGGCGCTCTTAGGGGTCTTAGTCTCCTTATAGTCTTATGTTTGTTGACACTGTTATCCTCAAACAAACCTGAAAAAGAACTCAAAATTTAAACCTTCTCATGATTTAACGGCTCCATGTCAATCTATCATAATTACTCACTCATGATCCTACTCCCAGAGACCACTTTAGATAACTATGTTACATTACAATTAATATATACTTCAAGCACATGATTATTATTTTGATTTCTTAATAACCAATGATATTTAGATCATATTTTATTTTTACTACAGTACTTAAGTCTATAGTACTGAAATCTTTGAAACAAATATATAGAACTGATCATATGAGCTACATGTTATTTTATGTATTTAATATAAATTAGTAAATACATGTATTTACTAATCCACATGCCCACAAGTAATTAAGAATTTTTTTTTCATTCATTGAACAAAATTTTAGGAACATCCACTACTGGGAGGAATGTGTGCTGGGCCCTGTGGACACAAAGACGAACAAGACAGAGACAGTGGAAAAAGCTTTAAGTGATAGTTAAAAGAAAGTGCATAAATCTCAAGCTTGTCTAATTTTAAGTGCTTGATTTAAAGAAAAAGGAAATTAATCAAACTGTAACATTTCCTACTTTCCAAACTAGAAATCACTTTTTGGTTTGGAAAATAATTTTTGAGGAGCTCTCCATTTGGCAGAATACTAACAGCAATAATAAAAATTCTAGCTATCCTAGTGAAAGAGAAATGAAACTGCATTTTTCTTAAAACATTATCTTTGTAAGTAGGATTGGAAATTCCACAATTTTACATCTACCTTGACAAAAAATCTCCATCAAAGAGTTAATTGTCAGTTGGACATTTTTCACAAGGGGAAGTGATGGCAGCTATGAATCAATAGCAACCTACATTCTCTACCCTATTTTTCAATGTATAGGCTCAAAATAATTAATTGGGATTACAAAGTTTTACAAGGATTGGTGGACTGATACATTGGTAGCAAAAAAATGAATGTTCATTATATTTCAATTTCTGAAATTCTCTTATATGATCTCCTTATATGTAGTTTACCAATATTTAACTCTTACTTAAGACAAAATGCATAAAATACACACTATTTTAAAAATTAGAAATATGAAGAGGGAAAAAAATATGCAGCAGTCTGCTGTCCCAAAACAACCAAATGGGAGCATTTTGGTTTCCTTTTTCCTCCTTTTTTTCTTAAACTTCTTTTACATAAAGTGACCTCATTTTATATAAAGCTTTGTATTTCACTCTTTAAATTTTTCATACCTTCATGTAGGAATTCAATCATGAAATTTTAGAGGTATATGAGGAACACTGAGGTTTATACAAGAGAATATACCTTTTCATACATACGAGAACCGAAGCCAGGAGACTATGTGCCTCAACAGTACTTGGCAAAGCAAAACCTAGAGGCCACATCTCCTGACTCTCAATCTTGAATACAACTTCCTAACCCAGTGTACTTAAGCAAATTATACACATACAACTTAAGAAACTGGAAGAAATCACTTTATCATCCAAATGAGCTTCTAAGTCTTACCTTTTCCTATCTGGTCCCTTCCTCTTTCCTCTCAAAACCTGACTATCTGCCTTACATTTATATAATCCAGTCTTACCCACACCAACTATTTTAATTATAATCTATGACCTGACAAGCCCCAGATTATGCCTGTGGCTCACCTCTCTCATCTGAACATCAGACCCAAACTGTATATCCAAAGGCCAATAGTATAGGTCCATTTTGAAGTTATACGGGCATCTCAAACCAGACACATCAGCTTTTTGCAAAGCCTTTAAGAGTTGCTGTACTCCCTATCACAGTGAATGTCACCCATCCACCCAACTGTCTGTGCCAAAACTCTTGAGTTTTATCCCTAATTTCTCTCTTCAATCCCTCATTCAACAAATCAACCTGTCAGTATGTCAATGCTATGTTACCATAGATATATCTGAAACCTATATTCTTATTCTTTACTTCAAGTTATGTCATCTTTTTTCTCACACATGGTTAGACTAGAATACAGTTTCTTATCCCCCTTACTCTAGTCTCTCCCATCCATTTATAGCACCATCTCACATTCCCCACACTGTAGACCAGGTGACATTTTTAGGACAAAAATCTCATTCCTTCTTTCCCTTGTTTAATATCTTTCAATGCTTCCTTTATTCTAAGGGTAAATTCTATAATCCTAGCTATGGTCTACCAAGATCTGGCCTCTAGGATTCTCCATCCTGATATATGAACATCCATCCTTTCTTAGTCTGTGCATGCATGTTAAGTTGCTTCAGTCGTGTCTGATTCTATGCAACCCTATGAATCATAGCCTACCAGGCTTCTCTGTGCATGGGATTCTTCAGGCAAGAATACTGGAGTGGCTTGCCATGCCCTCCTCCAGGGGATCTTCCTGACTCAGGGATCAAACCCACATCTCTTAAGTCTTCTGCATTGGCAGCCAGGTTCTTTATCACTAGTACCACCTAGGAAGCCCTTCTTAGTCTGGGCTTCAGCCATGCTGAACACATCTACTCTTTGCAGATATAACATGCTCCCTCTCATCTCTGGGCCACTCTTCTACCAGGAGTTTTAACCCATCCCACTCCATCTCTGGCCTAGCTAACCCCTCACTATTCAAACTATTCACTATTTACTTTATAAACTCCCTCTCTAACCTTCATCTCCAATTGAGTTAGATGCCCCTGCTATACACTGCCATAGTACCCTCAGTTTCTTAAACCATTACACTCATCACTAGGCATTATAATTGCTTATCTTATTCTCTGCCTCCCCACTAGATTGTTGCTTTGTAAAATCAAGTACATGGTCACTGTTTTTCCAAAACCAGCACAATGTCTAGAATGCAGTAGAGTCCAAACATTACCTGGAGAATGGATATATCTACACCTTATGACCTTTAAAGAGATGCTGCTTTCTTTCATTTTCCTTTCCTGTAAAAATTTTGGCAGTTCCCTTACTTCTTCCTTGACCAGGTCTAAAACATTTTTTAGATAATTGAACATAGTAACCTTTATGATCAGTCATTATTTAATTTTGGAAAATGACCACTCGGTGGAGTTAAATATGTACATAATATTGGAGAAGAGCAATAACCAGGCTTTTGACAAAAATGGGAAACAATCCTTAATTAGGTGTAATTTTTACTATAATTAGTAGATCCAAAAAAAGAGGTAGAGGTTAACTGAACTCTTAAGTGTGGAGAATAAACTACAGTTTATCTCTCATAAAGTACAAATTACAGTTATGACTTTTATCATAAGTTATGATAATAAATTATAGTTAGACCTTCATAAACTATACAGGCATGACTTTCATCTATATGTTATGGCTTCACAAAGGTAATCTTAATGGAAAAATACAAAAATCTCCACTAAATAGAATTTAAAAATGTATCCCAAAACTGCCAATGTATTTCTCTACTTCATAATTAGTTAACGTAAATTGAAAACCCTCTCTTTTCTTCCAATAAAAATTATAACTCTACTTTCTGATAAAATTTCCTTTCTCTGTTTCATGTACTTTCTCCCACATTCTAAAACATACCTTTCATACAAAATCTGCTCAAATACCCCCTTTACCGTGAGAAAATGAACAAAATATATTCCTACACTCAATTCCATTATACTTTATCTGCACTTCTCAATGGCATATTATTTTAACTTATATTTCCACATCAGTCACTTCTATCCAGGACCACTATATACACATACATACTTCAAAATCCAGCCTTATGCTCACAGCACCCAGAGGGGGTGCCTTTTCCTAATCACCTTTCCTGGAACAGGAGATACATATTTTTTTCTAATTTTCACAAAGCTGTCTATAAATTAGAGGCAGTCTTGTTTACGTATATAATTCTTCTAGACTATAAAAATCTGACAGGAAGAATTTTGTTCATTTATTGTTTATACACAATGGGTATTTTAAAAAAGCAGATCCTGAACAAATGGATAAAATCATAGTGTCTAGTACCACTTACCAAGTTGGACTCATTAGGTGGAATGTACTTCTCTGTTCCCATTCGCACAAGTCCATCATGGTAGAGAAATATTTTTAGTGGATCACATGATGTTACCAGGATATAAATTCTTAAATCAAACTTGTAACCTTCCATTAGGAAAGGCTTTTCAATGTATTCTTGAACGATCAAATGATCCTGAGATGGAAGCTTATCACCATTTCTTATCAAAGAAATCCTAAATTTAAACAAAAGATTAGAAGAATAATTTTGGAGTCAAGATGTTTACAAAGTTGCAGACAATACTCAAGAGGAAAGTGATTCCATCACATACACACAAAAAAATAGCATAAAGATACTGTCAGAAGCAATTTTTTGGAATCCTGGATACAAACCAAAAGCTTGTATTAACAAGGGAACTTGTAATAAAAAATAAAACAAAAACAAAACAGCTGAATCTCTCTAAAAGAACTTCTTTGCATTTTAATTTACTCTGGTACCACTCCATCTCCCAGCGCAGCAGTGGCCTTGAGCAGCAGCCCCTGTTCCTACTATAGGCACTGGTTCTAGAGGTAGCAGAACAGACCTATTCTTGGGGTTGCTTTGTTTGCCCATGTGTTTAAATCAGTTTGGGGGTTCCCTGGAGGATCTCAAAGGATTTGCTTTTATCTTGTCTAATTGAGAACTCTCCCAGTGCTGAGGCAGCTACTTGGGGGAGGGAGATGGGAGACAAATGCTGACAAACATTTAGAGACAGATGTATTAGTCCCTGCTGCCTAAGGCAACAAATGTTTGGGGAAAACGACAGACTAACTGAAAAGATTGGGATAAAAGACTGGGGAACGAAACTCTTTGGGGAAGAAGGGCTTTGAAAAGCTCTGAACTATTTCTAAGATTCTAGAAGCCTGTATGTATGCCCAGGGTTAAATGCATGCTCAGGAAAAGACTTGAGAAGGCCCTAGGTAACCATCAAGCTCTGTATAAGCAGGAATTGAAGGCTAAGGCAGAGTTGCAAATGCCTAGCTGAGCACTGAAGGCATGATACAACATGCATACACACACACACACACACACACACACACACAACCCCATCTGCAAGGATTGGGGGAATTTTTTTGTTCCAAGTGTTTATAGACATCTCTGTTCAAATACTAACAGATTAGACAATTACAGCTGACCACTGGCCTAACAGAACAGGAACTTCAGAGACCACACACAATAAAGAATAGAGACTTTACAAAACTGTTTCAGGAAGGTCACTAAACAAATAAACAACATCTAGAACAAACAGTAACAAAAAACCCTGTAGAGGAGAATCTAATTATCAAAGTTGCTACATTAAAATATTCATAATGTCTAGTTTTCAACAAAATATCATCAGTTGTGCAAAAAAAACCAAAGTATGGCCCATACAAAGAAAAATTCTCAATTAATAGAAACTATACCCAAAGAAATCAAGACATTTTGTTTACTAGACAATAAATTATTTAAATCAACTATTTTAAATTTTCTCAAAGAGCTCAAGGAAATCATGTACAAAGAACTGAAGGAAATCATAGGAATAATATCTCACCAAAGGCAGAATATCAGTAGAGACAGAAACTATATTTCAAAGGTGGTGGGGAAGGTGGGTGGGAGCCAAACAGAAATTCTGAGGTTGAAAAGTACAGTAACTGAAACAAAAATTCACTGGAGAGGTTAAACATAAGATTTGGGAAGGCAGAAAAGAATCAGCAAACTTGAAGATAAATCAATTGAGACTAGTCTGAGAAATAAGAAAGTAAAAATAAAACAAAAATGAACTGACTTGAGAGTCCTACAAGACAATATTAATAATAATAACATGTTCATAAAAGCAGTCTCAAAAGGTAAAAAAGAAAAATATTACCCTATATATCCAAGAGGCATAATAAGCAACAATTAGAAATCCATTTTATTATTTTTTCATATTAGAACTCAACCATGAGCAAATGCTTACATTTAGTCTTTCTCCCAATTCTTTAAAAATTTTATGTATTCTAGATGAAAAATACCTACCCATGACCCATTGCACCATTAGCTGGTTTTACTATAAAAGTCTTCTGCTTTCTTTTTTTCTTTAATTCTTTCATGTAGTTTTGAAATTGTGTATATTCAGCAGGGAAGATCCATGTTCGAGGAACAAAGGCATAATCCAGAGGCCGGGACTTGATCATTCTATAAATTAGAGATAATATGAAAGGTACTTTCTATCCCAACTTGTCTAAACTTCCTTTCTCTGTGCTACTGATATTTACTAATGTTTTAAATTCCCTCTATTTCTTCATTTATTGATCCAGTCATTGACTCATTTTTTAAAATTCCTATTAATCACCTACTACTTGTTAAGCACTATTCTAGATACTAAGGATATAGTAGTGAAAAAAACAGACAAGAATTTCTGCCCTATGTACTAATTTATACATTAATAGATCAAATGTTTAAGTATATGTTATATATTGGGTACTGAGGATTAACATGGTCTTGGTTCTAAGGTATTTACATACAAGCCATTAATTAAAAACAATGTGATAACTGCAAAAAAGTTATATAAGGCAAGGTAAAATGTGGCTCTGGGATGAGGGTGGTCAATATGGTTCACAGCCAGGTGTCATTCATACCGCCCCTTAAAAGATGATTTGGAGTTCACTGGTCATACACAGAGAGGAATTTTCAAATTGCATTTTACCCCAGTACTTTTTGAGTGTTCCTACTTCTGTGAGAAAACCAGTGAAATCTCTGAGTCAGCAGAGGTTTTCCTTATATGAACTACTATCTACCTACACATGTGTTTTTATTGCTATAATGTTTGTCCTGACATTTTTGTATTCGCTATAAATCAGGCTGCCTATATGATACATAACTTAGGGATATTGATACAATACTAGATATAAAATGTTTGCTTTTGATTAATCCAAATGCTATTTATTTCGTACACACTGATTCTCAATGACAATTTTTAAATCAGTAGAAATATTTTAAATTATTGTCTATTAAAGAAAAATCTGATTGTTTCTCAATGACAATTTTTAAATCAATATAAATATTTTAAATTATTGTCTATTAAAGAAAAATCTGATTGCTTCAAAAAGTCTTCTTTATAAATGTATGCAAGTCTTTTATAGATGAGCAAATATTATTTCCAAATGAGATTACTCAAAATTAAAATGGGACCCTAGTATACAATGTGCACAGAAGTAGGGCCATTTTGTAAGACTAGAGTGTGGAATATATAAGCCACTGAACTCCATGACTAGGTCATACAGTTATACTTCAAGTGCTCTTTCAAGAGAACCCTGTAAAAAAATTTATGTTTACACTATAAGAAGAAAAATATCACCAACTCCACCTATCAAATCCAAAATAAACCAACCAGCTAAACAACCTCACTACAAAATAGGCTAACATTGATTGGTCTGAAACACACAAACACACATAAATCTAATGGAAGCACAATAACAATACCATTTTTGCTTCCAACACCCTTACATGTATTTATACTTTTATAAATAAATTTGTAATAATATAAAATTAGATTAAGTTAAACCTTTAATAGAACAATATATTTAAAACTAACCATGAAGTGTTTATGAATAATACCATTTATCCATTTGAAAAAAATCCAAGCATACATATATTCAAGAAAAATACTTTTATTCAATTTAGGTGATCTAGCACAAATCATTTAATGTAAAAATATGTAGCTTCAAAAGAGACAAATTCTTACTTAGGAATTTGGTATACTGGAATAATTTCTGCTCAGAGTTCTGTCATAGATTTACTAAATGATATTGAACATGCTTTTTTTAACTCTATTTTTAATATTACTTGGTCATCACTTTTTACCTAATAGAAGATCTTTTTTTCCTCAAGGAGACTTGCAAGGATTCTACAGGATGGAAAACTGCCTAATTGCAATAGTCTACTAATGGGTCTACATTTAATCCTCTTGCCTCTCCTGGGCCATAAGACTTCTGTTCTCTACAAAGCAGCCAGAACGATCTTGGAAAAATGCAAATTTGGTCATATTATCAACTTCATCCCCCCTTCCTCTTCTGTGGCATTTAGGATAAAGATTGTCATCCTGAAAAATCACTCGTGAACCAATCTCCCCCACTGCTCCCCATCAACCTCTCTGTGCTCCAGCTACATTGGCCTTATTTCAGAATCTCGACTATCCATGTTTTCTCCCAGCACAGGACTCAGACCCCTACTATCCTTCTTGCCCAGAAGGCTATTACATACCATCTGCACCAATAAACTCCTACTCATCATTCATATCTCAGCTTCCATATCACTTCCTCAGGGAAACTCTCCAAAGCTTCCTTAAGTTAGAAGTCCTTCACTATGCACTAATTTAGGACTACATACCTCTACTTCATAGCACTTGTCACAACTGCAATGCAAGGCTGTAAAAACCATAACTCTGCTTTTGATCACTTCGTGCTCAGAGCCCAGCACAATGCCTGGCATCTAACAGACACTTAATAAATATGTGTTCAATGGAAACAAATGACTTAAAAGATGTCCAAATTAGAGGTTCACTCCCATTCCTCTGAAGCCCATCCTTGTAATTCCTATGTTAACAAATCACACCCTCCACATAACATCCTAATCCAGAAACCTAAGAGTCTTGGAGACTTCTCGCCCCCTTTCCTTCAATTCTCACATCAGAGCAGTTTTCAAGTCCCAGCAATGCCACGTTCTTTATATCTCTCAGATTTATCTTCTCTTCCCCATTCGTCCTCTCTCTCTTTTGGATCAACAGGTGTTCATTATTTCTGAACTAGATAATGACAAGCATCTCTTCCAGGGCTTTCACTGTCTGGTCCTACCTTCATTGAACCCATTATCCTATGGTGTCACCAAAACTATCTAAAACAGATTATTTCTCTGCTGAGGCCCATTAAATAGCTCCTCATTTCTCTCAGGATAGGCAGAAATGTTTGTTGAGTAAAGAGATTAAAGAAACAATGATTAAATGATTTTAAAAAATACAATAATACAGTGTACACAGCTTAGTCTTTACATTTATTTCCAGCATCATCTGAGGTTGAGCCTCCCAATATCCTATTTAACCATAAAGAGTGCTTGAGGTTCTCCCAAACATATTATGTGATTTAAGTCTCCCTATACCTCCTCCCACTGTTGTCTTTGCCTACAATTTTCTTATCTTCTTCTCAAAGGGTGAACTCCTTTACTCCTTTCAATATCCATTTCATAATTTAATTTCTCCAGAAACCCTTCCCTGCTGTCTCATAAAGAATCTCTCCCACCTTCTTTGTCACACAGTCTCTACCTCGAATGTGACAGCACCAAACTATTTATGCATCAGTGCTCCTCTCTTACTAAAATGTGAGTTCTAGGCAGAAACTAGGCTTTAATTAACTTGTTTACTTCAAAGCTAGCAGTCTCAAGGGCATATAATAGACACGCAAAAAATATTGTTGTGTGAATGGATTATAAGCTTTCACATGGATGAATACTAATATTTCTTGAATTACAAGCATCTTCCCAACTTTCATCTGTGAAAGAATCCTCTTTGTAATATTTTTTTCTCAATTTATCAACTTTCTGAAAATAAAAAATCTAATAAACAGAATATAAACTGCAGAAAAATTCTGCAATATATTCTTCATAACACTTTACCTGTTAACAGTTTTTCCCATGAAGGCATATTATTACTCTAAATAATGGTCTCCAAAATAAATATCTGTGCATGTAGCCCTGAGTAGGCACATATACATGTGTTCTACATGTGTGCACACAGGCACCTATTACAGTGCTTGGCACATATCAGATGCTCAGTAACCAGTATTCTGAACACACCCACATGAGGGATAAGATGCGACAAATTAGTTTGTACAAGGTTTAACTGAAAATAAGTAAGCATATATTGAATGTTATGTACAGAAAGCTTCTTACATTTAAACAAACAATTTCTTTTGCTGGAGAGATAGCAAGTTGCAGTGAAAAGAACCCTGAAATTCTGAAGACCAAGATCCTACTCCAGCTCTGCTCTTAACTTTGACTTTACACAAGGTATTCATGTCTCTGACCCTCAATTACCTCCTCTGCAAGGTCAAAGAACAGAACCAGGAAAATTTTAAGACCCTTCCAGCTCTGAAATTCTATCTCTTCCATTTAAATTCCATTTCAAATCAATGTTAATTTGTTAAAGGTAGCACTATGTAATTTTTAATAGGTCTTCTCTATTACAAGAAAATGAAGATTACTTGGTCATATTTCTCGCTAGGAAATCCTTCCTACAGATCTCCCCCATTCCTGGAAAATGGTTGATCCTCTGCAAAATAAAAAGGTAAACATTAATATTCTCATTGACCTAATGGATATATTCATTTATACTATGATACAGTTACAGTCATCCTTTGTGTTTAGTGTTTTTCAGTAAGAGGCTAAAGACTAAAAAAACTGGTGAAAATGGACTTGCTGTCTACAGTCAATTTTGTACAAGTCACTACAAAAACAGGTAAAGGAGAGCTATACAAAATCTCAATAGCCTAAAACTCCATGTATTTCATTTTTCTTTTTTAATTTACTTGTATTACATTCTAGTAATAAAATAATGAAGGCAAATTACACATAGCTGACATTACAAGGGATGGCCGTATTCAGAGGCCTTTATGCCATCTATTCCACATCGTTCATCTGTATGCATAATGCAGAGCACCAGCCTAGGAAGAGCTTTCCTCTATCAATTCTTCCTTAAAGATGGAAAGAGCTTAAAGTTAAATCTGAAAGGACGCAGTCTTCAGGCAACAGGCTAGTCAAGTAAATTGTGTTGTGTGTATAGTCGCTAAGTCGTGTCTGACTCTTTTCCAGACCCTATGGACTGTAGCCCGCCAGGCTCTTCTGTCCATGGGATTTCTCAGGCAAGAATACTAGAGTGGGTTGACATTTCCTTCTCCAGAGGATCTTCACAACCCAGGGATCAAACCTGTGTATCCTACATTGGCAGGAGGACTCTTTACTGCTGGGCCACTGGGGAAGCCCATTCAGGCAAGAATCCTGGAGTGGGTTGCCATTTCCTCCTCCAGGAAATCCTGCCAACAGAGGGATCCAACCCGCATCTCCGGTGTCTCCTGCGCTGCAAGCAGATTCTTACTCACTGATCCATCGGGGCCATCAGGCAGAAATGAAGTAATATGTCAACATATTAAGAACCTTACCTAAAGAAAACTATAATGGAATTCATAGAATTTTCCTGCTGACCAATAATTGGTCATGATTAATTTCCTACCTGGTAATTTTGCAGCTCTGCAATCTTCTCTTGCTGAACAGCAGAATCACACCATATAAGATTGCTTGTTTCATCTTCATCTGGCGTTTTCAAAAATCCCATTTCATCTATTACTAAACGCACTGCAAGTAAACAGTTAAGTTAACCCAAAATTAAAATGCTTCTGAAGCACAGTCATCGTGAAAATCTTATATATGTATATATGTATATGTATATATATATATATATATATAAAAATTTTAGCTCACAGGATTTTATCTGTAAAATTTCCATTAGTTATAGCATAACCTTAATTTAGGTACAGTGAATTATCTAAGGCTAGATTATACTCAACAGCAACAGAGAACTGCTTTTAGTTGGCACCCCAAATCCTTAGTTTCAATTTTCTGATATAACAGGCACACAACGCTGTTAAAGAGCTCAGTGAGTATGCAGAGCTCAGTGAAAACACACACACAGCCGACACAACACCTCGACTCAGGAAAATGTACTTTTATGGCTTTTTCATGCCCTTGGGCTAGGTACAGAAAGAAAGGATAAAAATAGTCCCTGAGCATCAGACCCACCCTATACTTTCCACCTCCCTAATTCAAATTATTTTTAGCAGTTAAAACCAAGTCAGTTATACTGACACAGGACACAAAATAATAAAGCAGAATTATAGTAGAGATCTAGAAACTCTGGCCCTCCCATCGGCTCCCGACCCTCTAATCCTAAGCACAAAAAATATGTTCAGAGAAAATCGTGCTTTATAAATTCCACAATACTGGATATAATAATAAACATATTGATATCTTTCTTCCCATGTATTTCAAGTTTAGAATAAAATCAGAAATACTTAGGATAAAGTTTGGGTTCCAATAGAATTTGGAGTCTTAATATAACGAGTCTTAATATAACAGTGTAACTAGACAGGAGTGTTTCAATGCCTACTTTCCTTTTATTGCCCAAAGATAGGAAGATATAGTAAAAAGGGGTTAACTGTCTAAGTATACTTGGTTCAAGTGTGGAACTAATGACCAGATATCAGTTGCTCTCAAGTCCAAGGGACTCTTGATTTCTTTTTGATCATGGACACAGAACAGGCTTTTCATGCAATAATAGCTGGAACACAGGCATAATAATAGAAGAGGACGGGGACTGGAGACGAATGAGGTTAGCGAGAGGACTGTTGAGGTGAAGCCACTTTTTTCCATGAGCAGCTTGATAAAACTTGGGGTTGTTCTGAAGGCCCAGGTGACAACATACAGTACAAATTTGGGGAAAGGGCTGTTCCTCTCTCTGCCTCAGACTACCAAGCAGCATTGGCATCCTGAGGCCCAGCAGCTTCTGTGTCATCTAGAGCTCGTGGGGAGGGGGAAGACCGTAGTGACACAGCCTGGGAGAGTTCTTTTAACTGGCTCACAAGCAGAAAACAATGTCTAGGTCAGAACGGCAGCTCAGAAGCAGACACGGTCCCAACTACATGCAAGTCATTGTCCCAGGCCTCTCAGAAATCTCTAGGAAGACCTTGATGAGAGAAATGACACTGGCAGTAGTTGCAGACAGAGGGGGTACAATGAACTACTAAAATGTGGGTATTAATGTAAACGTGAGCTGGTGAGGATGGAAACATTCATATATATAACAATGGTGGAAATAATCCATTCTTTCTCTAAATTCACAAAATCAAATTTGTAAGGTCAGTCTTATATAAATCTCTCTTACTATGAAATTCAAAGCTTGAAGAGCTGAAAGAGTTGAACTTCAAAAAAAAAATAGTTAGGCATTAAACTGTCACTTTTTTTCAGCTACGCTATCTACTCATATTTTTGTTTGAAGTGAAATTTTAGAAATCAATTGGCATACTTTTAAGTACACCATCCTCCACTGCATAGAAAAGAAATTCCTTTAACATGTCAATTCCAAATACAAGGTTTTTAGCAGCCAAAGTCTAAATGCATGCTTTTAAATGCTGGCCTTTTAGGAAAGTGAAACAAAGTGAAAGTTGCTCGGTCGTGTCTGACTCTTTGCAACGCCATCAACTGTACAGTCCATGGAATTCTCCAGGCCAGAATACTGGGGTGGGTAGCCTTTCCCTTCTCTAGGGGATCTTCCCAACCGAGGGATTGAACTCAGGTCTCCCACATTGAAGGCAGATTCTTTTTTTTTTCTTCATTTATTTTTATTAGTTGGAAGCTAATTACTTTACAATATTGTAATGGTTTTTGTCATACATTGACATGAATCAGCCATGGATTTACATGTATTCCCCATCCCGATCCCCCCTCCCACCTTGCAGGTGGATTCTTTACCAGCCGAGTCTTTTAGGAGTTCTCTTTAAAAAAGAACTGAAATAATTGCCTCAACATTTAATTTCTACCAAACCAAATTCCCTTATTGGTAAAACAGAGATAACCACACCAACCATTTTTCTCACATTTCTCCTTGCATAATTAAGTATTCCTTCTACAATCTGTCTTGTCCCCATTTAATAAAAATTGCCAAATACACGTTCCTCACAAACTTGGCCTACTTCTTTTTTTTGCCTTGACCCATAGAGCTTTCAGAAGCTATTCAGGAGTTTTAAAAATAGGAATCCATGTAACAACTCTCCGAATTTTAGATAGAGGACACTTTAATGTTACTCAATTTAAATTTTGATTCACATTTTATTTAGGCAGTATGATATAGTAAAAAGTACACTAAATTTGGAAGCAAATTCATTCAGGTTCAAGTTTTACTTTTGCCATCTGTAGAACCTTGAGGAAGTTGTTCTCACTGAGCTTTCATTTATTCAACTGTGCCTAAGGGGTGTTTTAAAAAGTAATAAAGTTTCATCATATATTAATTATAGGATTACTATGACAGTGTAGTTCACTATTTCACAATGTGTCTCCATGAGAAATTATGGGAAAAAGTTTTCCCAAGACTCAGGAATAGAAACATTGCATTTCCTTTGAATAACCAGTATGTTTTCATCTTCCGAGCACTGCGTATTCTATACCTGATTATTTGCAATTATTAGCTTTGCTTGCTAGGCAGCTCAGAGTCAAATCCAGACACATCTCTAACTATAGAGGATTTCATGGAATGCAGATTATATTCTGATCAGCCACAAGCTTCATTCAATTTTATTATTTTTATTTTTCCTTATTTATTTTCTCATGGCTATTAGCCACTTCAAATTCACTATTAGAGCAAGGAAAGTCAGAGAAAGTGGCAACAAGGGAGTAACACAGCCTATTTTACAGGGTTATCTGGAAGACTAGGTGAGGTAATTCATGTGAAAATATTTGGTCCAGGGTTATAAAAGCATTAATAGTAAAATTAGTAGTGGTTAAAGTATTCTACATGAGGAAACAGGCAACATCAGGGAGAAAACACAAGTGTCCTGACTATGGCTTAATCATCTTTCATTACATAACCCAACCTGTCAAAGGAGCAGTAGTTAAATTACAAGAAGTAATCTGTTGCACATCACTAGGTTAACTAAGGGAAAGCAAGGTAACGCCATCTCCTGGACTCACGGCCAATTGTCTCTTTCCCTCCCTATACTTGCTCCGTTTTCTCCCAGAAGTCTCTGGTCCAAGTCTCCAAGTCTGGCCGAGCAGGGATTTTGCTAAACACAACTGAGCAGGCTCGGCACGGAGGTCTGGAATCAGTATGAAGAAGGCTAATGTAAGTTCAGCCCTTGGCAGTGACAGGGAACTACACCTGAAAACACTCTCCTCGAGATCAAGTTCCTTATAAATCCCACCACAATCTTAAAAGCAAACAAGCTGGGAAGTTAACACTGCCCCATCTGTCACTTTGACAATGGTTACTCTTGTTTTTCCATGCTAGAGAATACACTGCAAATAACTCACGTCTCACTCTCCCACATTAATTAATTTACAGTTTTCCCTGTGAAGAACAGAGTATTAGGGGACCTCAATTCCTATGAAATATTCCATTGGTTGCTGATGAACTTTGGTGAAATACTGTAAGTGGAAATGTGACTCTCAAAGATTAACAAGGGTAAGAATAATTAATATCCTTGAGATTCATATGGTTTTCCTTAACTCTTTTAATGCAAAATTATTTGTTTTAAAAAGGAAGATTATTTGAGTACTTGTAGTAGTGATGACTTTCTCAGTGCAATGCTGGGAAAGAATATCTTAATTTAAAGCAATTAATTCTTACCTATTCTCTCCACTGCAAATACTGCCTACATGTAAAAAATAAATTATACAAATAAAAAGAAACAGTATCATCCAAATTGTTTTTAAAGCATGCAGAGAAATATGTTATTACACTATTTTTAAGTCAGTTTCTCATTGTTTAATATGAATCTCAAATTCTGCAGTTTTCAGTGTACATGTAATACTTTTAATCTGTTTTTAAAATTATTTACAAAGTAATGAATATTAAAAGTTAAAAATAATTTTAGCCCCAAGTGAAAAATTCATTAGACTCATATAATTGTCCTAACCACATCTGTATTTCAAAATTAAAGCTTGTTTTAATAGCTGTGTTTTACTGTTCATATTACTTTATACTTGATTTTAAAACTAAGCTTTAAAATTATATACATTTAATCCAATCTCCTCAATACCTAGAGCTTTTGAGTTTCATGGATGTTCTATTTGGTTAAATACATGTTAAATATGTCATAAAAAATAAAATTTTATAAAAGGCATTCAGAAATCCATTATATAGAAGAAAACTGTCTCTGAATTTTTACATTGTTTTTAACATCAAATAGCTTTCCCAACAATTATGAAAATATCACTATTCTGAAGAGACCTACCAATTTCAAACTTTGTCCCAGCAACATTTGCTGTAATGGTTCCCTTCTTTTTCTTCTTTCTGACTTTCCTTTTCATCGTGCTTTGATAAGGCAATTCTGTATTCAGATCCAGGGGAGTAGGTCCCTGAATAACTTTAAAAGAAATGTAAACCAACCAAATATCATTGAAATAATAAGAACTCCATACCAGAGAACACAAATGCTCCACCCCCCAACAAGGTAAAAGTATAAATTCTTATTCTTTAAGGGTCCCCAATTGATTTTTAATTCTTGGAAAGATTACCAGTGATGACCTATAAAATGTAGCTCTATATAGTATGTCCACATGATTAAATCACGCTGCTTACCTCTTTCCTGAGGCAGAGACGGCATTCTTGTCTGTGCGGATCAACGAGCAGTGTGTGCTGCTGTACTAGCTCTTAGGAAACCTGGAAGACCTGCATTAGTCTAAGTAGGATACGGTTCCAAATCACTGCAAGTTCCTATCATATTATCTCGGTGGAATCCTCAGATTTCAGGACACTGAAATTATGAGATAAGAAGGTACCTGCAGGAATTTTAAAACAAAGGTATGTAGAAAACAACTCATATTTTTCTTTAATATATGTCAATGCTCTTCTTTTTAAAAGTCAAGTAAAGATCAAAGTTAATGCAGTCAATAAACAAATGTAGTTAATTTATTAAACCTTATGCAAAATGCCAAGCAACAGTCCTCTGTTTTTAGAAGAACACAGTCTAAAGGAAACATATTTACATACAGTAAATAACATGATTTACACAAACAAGAAAAACAATAACATTATTCACTACCATTTATTGAACACTTTCTATCTCAGGCCACTTATACCACTTAATCTTTCAACAAAACTATAAGGTAGAAGCTTTTATCTCTAACAGGTAAATACGTTGAGCTCAGAAAGGACAAATCTTTACAAAGAAAGTAAGTGACAAAGTGGAGATTAAAATAGTATCTCTCTGATATCAGGACCCCATATAACCTTCAACTCAATGCCTGGAAACCTAGAACAGCTCCACTTTTAATATTAAATGGTGAAATAAGTGCCAGTGCCAGGGTAGAGGTCACAGGCTGACAGAATGGAGAAAAAAGAAATTCCCTTTTAAGGTGTGCGTCAGGGGAGGGGGTGACTACATAAAAAAGATCACATTTGAGTTATGCCTTTAAATATGAGAACAATTTTGAAAAGTAGAAAACGGGAGGAGTAATTACCAAAATGATCTTATTTGGGCATACAGAGGAACACAATAAAACATTTTACAATGAATGAACTAGTTAGATTTGCCCATGCCCCAACATAGCCTGTATTACAGTCCACTTTTATTTTCATTATGTAAGTATGTATGAACCTAGGGGTTGTACCCTGACTATACTATGCTATACTATCAGCCTTCTAATTTCTCCCACCATACATCAAGAATCTTGAACATAAAATGTCTCCAAATATAATGAAAAGTTATAAAACCTGTCACAATAAACAAAGGTATGATATCAACATCTTTATCAAAAGATTATCAGGTTTATGAGAAATTCAGAAGTATTTGAAAATTCAGCTAAATAAAATGTGACTCATACATCACTCCCAACAGTCATTAAAAATAAGACTAATTATTAAAGAAAATTTAGAAGTTAATTTATTTTCAGGAATTATTTTCACTACAATAATTCTCTAGAATAATTCAAAATCAAAACTAGGGAAATATTATCTATTACAGACCAACTGTGGACAGGTACTATGTTAAGAATCTAAACTATTTTACCTGATTAACAAACTTGGAACTTGGGTCTCATCTCCCCCAGTACCCCAAATATGGAAATTAAGGCTAAACAAGTCAACTAAATCAAGTTAAAACATCTTATAAAAAGAAAACCTAGGTTTTGAACCTAATTCTGTCTGATTATTCTGTTCATTGAGCTCCACTATTTTCAGGCAGCATGCTAATATACTGTCTAGATGTACAAGAAGCTTGTGACCCTACTGCAGTCCATACTGCAAGATACGGGAATATTCTGGGAATTCATGATACCTCAAACAGTGAAATCACAGTAAACATCCCTAACCTGATAATAGATCCCTATTCCAAGCTGGAAATATACTGGATCATTTTTCAGAATAAAAGAAAGGAGTAGTCTAAAGTTCAGTTGATTTCTCTCTGGAAAGTCTGATACCTTAGGGAGGTAACTATTTGAGTCTACAGGTCCTTATCCAGCACCTTGTTATTGGAGTAAACAAAGATCTCTTATAGTAACAGAGTGCTTATTACATTGAAAGTAGGTGACGAAGACAACAAGAGTTTAGGAACAATATTTGCCTAACTTTACTAACAATAAATCAATAATTGTTATAGGCCGTAAAAGCAGATTTATTCATTTCTGACTTAAATAATGAGGCTCACAAATTCAATCTATGTAGGGCTCAAAACAAGAACTGAGCTTCCCAGGTGGCACTAGTAGTAAAAAAAGAAAACAAAAAACCCCACCTGCCAATGCAGGAAACAAGAGACGTGGGTTCGATCGCTGTGTCGGGAAGATTCCCTGGAGGAGGGCATGGCAAACAACTCCAGTATTCTTGGGTTCCCTGGTGGCTCAGACGGTAAAGAATCCACCTGCAATGCAGGAGACCAGAGTTCGATCCCTGGATTGGGAAGATCCTCTTGAGTAGGGGATGGCAACCCACTCCAGTATTCTTGCCTAGAGAATCCCCATAGCCAGAGGAGCCTGGTGGGCTACAGTCCACGAAGTCTCAAAGAGTTGGACAAGACTGAGCAACTAAGCACAGCACACAAAACAAGAACTATTATTCCTTCCCCCAACAACACAAGAATTAAAGGCCTTAAAATTATTCTCTCCATCAGTTCAGTTCAGTTCAGTCGCTCAGTGGTATCTGACTCTTTGCGACCCATGAATCGCAGCACGCCAGGCCTCCCTGTCCATCACCAACTCCCTGACTTTACTCAAACTCATGCCCATCGAGTCGGTGATGCCATCCAGCCATCTCATCTTCTGTTGTCCCCTTCTCCTCTGCCCCCCCATCCCTCCTAGCATCAGGGTCTTTTCCAATGAGTCAACTCTTCCCATCAGGTGGCCAAAGTATTGGAGTTTCAGCTTCAGCATCAGTCCTTCCAATGAACACCCAGGACTGATGTCCTTTAGGATGGACTGGTTGGATCTCCTTGCAGTCCAAGGGACTCTCAAGAGTCTTCTCCAACACCACAGTTCAAAAGCATCAATTCTTTGGTGCTCAGCTTTCTTTATAGATACATGACTACTGGTAAAACCATAGCCTTGACTAGACGGACCTTTGTTGGCAAAGTAATGTCTCTGCTGTTTAATATGCTGTCTAGGTTGGTCATAACTTTCCTTCCAAGGAGTAAGCATCTTTTAATTTCACATCTGCAATCACCATCTGCAGTGATTTTGGAGCCCAAAAAAATAAAGTCTGACACTGCTTCCACTGTTTCCTCATCTATTTCCCATGAAGTGATGGGACTGGATGCCATGATCTTAGTTTTCTGTATGTTGATACACTAATTCCATTTATGATTTGGTGAATAACAAGAAAAGTGCTCTAACAAATTCCAGGACTTCATTCTGCCGTTCAATTCTCACCATTTCACTTTATTCTAAACAAGAGATTTGAGATGACAGATTGATCACATCGCTCAGACAATGCCATGGCCACCTTCTTTCCAAAAGGAGAAGTATATTTCAATTACCTCTGAAATAACCCAACAGTTTCTGAAGTTTGGCTACAAAGTAAAATCACCTGGGGCCTTTTGAAAATCCTGGTACCCCGGCCACACCCTAGACCCAGGCGAGGCATAAGCAGCAGCATTTGCTGTTGTTCAGTCCCAGACCACATGGACTGCAGCATGCCAGGCTTCCCTGTCCATCACCAACTCCTGGAGCTTGCTCAAATTCTTGTCCATTGAGTCAGTGACACCATCCAAGTATCTCATCCTCTGTCGTCCCCTTCTCCTGCTTTCAATCTTTCCCAGCATCAACGTCTTTTCCAATGAGTCAGTTCTTCCCATCAGGTGGCCAAAGTATTGGAGCTTCAGCTTCAGCATCAGACCTTCCAAAGAATATTAAGGGTTGATTTCCTTTAGAATTGACTGGTTTGATCTCCTTGCAGTCCAAGGGATTCTCAAGAGTATTCACCAGCACCACAATTCAAAAGCATCAATTCTTGGATGCTCAATCTTCTTTATGGTTCAACTCTCACACCTGTACATGACTACTGGGAAAACCATAGCTTTGATTAGATGGACCTTTGTTGGCAAAGTGATGTCTCTGCTTTTTAATATGCCGTCTAGGTTTGTCATGGCTTTTCTTACAAGAAACAAATGTCTTTTAATTTCATGGCTGCATTCAACATCTGCAGTGATTCTGGTGCCGAAGGAAATAAAGTCTATCACTGTTTGCATTGTTTCCCCATCTATTTGCCACGAAGTTACGGGACTAGATGCCATGATCTTAGTTTTTTGAATACTGAGTTTTAAGCCAGCTTTTTCACACTCCTCCTTCACCTTCATCAAGAGGCTCTTTAGTTCCTCTTCACTCTCTGCCATAATGGTGCTGTGATCTGCGTATCTGAGGCTACTGTTATTTCTCCTGGCAGTCTTGATTTCAGCTTGTGCTTCATCCAGACTGACATTTTGCATGATGTAGTCTGCACATAAATAAGCAGGGTGACAATATGCAGCCTTGATGCACTCCTTTCCCAGTTTGGAACCAGTCTGTTGTTCCATGTCTGGTTCAAACTGCTACTTCCTGACCTGCATACAGGTTTCTCAGGAGGCAGGTCAGGCGGTCTGGTATTTTTATCTCTTTAAGAATTTTCCACAGTTTGTTGTCATACATACAGTCAAAGGCTTTAGCATAGTCAATGAAGCAGAAGTAGATATTTTTCTGGAATTCTCTTGCTTTTTCTACGATACAATGGATGTTGGCAATTTTTAAAACTCTGTAAATGAGTCTAGGGTGTAGTAAGGCTGACAACCTCTGCTGTAAGCACACAACTGCATTAAAGCAAATAGTAGTTAATTATAACATGAAAGTGAAAGTGTTAGTCGCTCAGTTAGTCACTCAGCCTTGTCTGACTCTGCGACCCCACAGACTATAGCTGGCCAGGCTCCTGTGTCCACGGAATTCTCTGTGCAAGAATACTTGAGTGGGTAGCCATTCCCTTCTCCAGTGGATCTTCCTAACCAAGGATCAAACCCAGGTCTCCTGCCTTGCAGGCAGATTCTTTACTGTCTGAGCCACGAAGGAAGCCCCAATTACAAGGTAAACAAACATATATAATTTTAAGAAAAATGTAAAACAAAGATGAAAACATTTATAACTATATGAA